CGAAATGTGGCACAGCGTAATGAATTAGGTCTATAATGATGTGTGTTAAGTTTTGTGAAAATCGGTTCAGATTTAGATATAGCTCCCATATATATTTTCGTCCGATTTAATGTAAACTGTCCCTATATACCTTCCGATTTGCACGAAATTTGGTACAGTGTAATGAATTAGGTCTAGAATAATTTGTGCAAAGTTTCGTGAAAATCGGTTCAGATTTGGATATAGCTCCTATATATATTTTCGTCCGATTTAAGGTAAATGGTGTACCAAAGTCCCTATATTTCTTTCGATTTGCACGAAATTTGGTACAGCGTAATGAATTAGGTATAGAATAATGTGTGCAAAGTTTCGTGAAAATCGGTTCAGATTTGGATATAGGTCCCATATATTTTTTCGGCCGATTTAAGGTAAATGGAGTACAGAAGTCCCTATATACCTTCCGATTTGCACGAAATTTGGTACAGCGTAATAAATTAGGTCTAGAATAATGTGTGCAAAGTTTCGTGAAAATCGGTTCAGATTTGGATATAACTCCTATATATATTTTCGTCCGATTTAAGGTAAATGGTGTATCAAAGTCCCTATATTTCTTTCGATTTGCACGAAATGTGGCACAGCGTAATGAATTAGGTCTATAATGATGTGTGCTAAGTTTTGTGAAAATCGGTTCAGATTTAGATATAGCTCCCATATATATTTTCGTCCGCTTTGAGGTAAATGGTGTACCAAAGTACCTATATATCTTTCGATTTGCACGAAATTTGGCATAGCTTACTGAATAAAGTCAAGAATGATGTGTGCAAAGTTTCGTGAAAATCAGTTCAGATTTAGATAAAGCTCACATATATATCTTGGTCCGATTTAAGGTAAATTGTGTACCAAAGTCCCTGTACATCTTTCGATTTGCACGAAATTTTGCATAGCGTACTGCATAAAGTCTAGAATGATGTGTGCAAAGTTTCGTGAAAATCGGTTTATATTTAGATATAGCTCCCATATATATTTTCATCCGATTTAAAGTAATTGGTGCATCAAAGACCCTATATATCTTTCGATTTGCAAGAAATTTGGCATAGCGTTCTTAATTAAGTCTAGAATGATGTGTGTAAAGTTTCGTGAAAATCGGTTTAGATTTAGATATAGCTCCCATATATATTTTCATCCGATTTAAAGTAATTGGTGCATCAAGGACCCTATATATCTTTCGATTTGCACGAAATTTGGCATAGCGTATTGAATTGCGTCTATAATAATGTGTGCTAAGTTTCATGGAAATCGGTTCAGATTTAGATAAAACTCCCATATATATTATCGCCCGATTTTAGGTAAATGGTGCACCAAAGTCCCTGGAGATCTTTTCATTTGCACGAATTTTGGCATAGCGTACTGAATTAAGTCTAGAATGATGTGTGCAAAATTTCGTAGAAATCGGTTCAGATTTACATATAGCTCCCGTATATATATTCATCCGATTTTACGTAATTGGTGCACCAAAGTCCATATATAAATCTTTCGATTTGCACGAATTTTGGTATAGGGTACTGAATTAAGTCTAGAATGATGTTGCTAAGCATCGTGAAAAGATCCATAGCTAGGCCGCGAAGTCTGTTAGGATATATATGTAGAATATACCAAAAATGGTATAATAGTCGGCCCAGTCCGACTTTACTACTTTCCTTACTGGTTAAATATTGAAAATGTTCTAATCATTTGTATAAAATATAACATACCGTTCGTCTACAAAGCTCGACTATAAAGACGCCCTTTTTCTTTTCCATAAAACCTATCTGAAGGAAGGTTTCTGTAAACACATGGTATTCGGTTCGCCTGTAAAGACTACATTCAGCTTGTCTATATACACTTCTTGAGCCATAGCTCGACTATTAGCTTTAGACTCTCTCCTTGACTTTCAGCTCTCCTATAAAGGCCCGCTTTCAGAGCTTTAAAGACTACCCGAGGTTCAGCTCGTCTATAAAGACTCCCTGAGCTTCAGGTCGGCTATAATGACTCCCTGAGCTTCAGCTCGTCTATAAAGACTCCCTGAGCTTCAGCTCGTCTATAAAGACATCCTGGGACTTCTTGCACCACCTTTATTTACTTGTTGTTTTACGAGACGCATTTTATTTTCCTTCTCCGTCGTCCGAAGTACGCGCCCTGCAGAGGTTACAGCTAATATATAATAGTTGACACAAATGCGTCATAAATTAAAAGTTTTATCAACAAATCATACAAATTTCACAATAAACAAATACATACACAGATATTTTCTTTAGAGAAAAAAAAAGAAACACAAGGAAGTTTTCAAATAAAACTTTGCTCTTGACATTGGCATTAGCAATGTGACCTTGGAAATGGGAAACACAGAAGAAAGTTTATTAAGTTTAACAATTAAAATTTGCTGTGTATGTATTTGTATGTGTGTGTAGGATATTCCGAGTTTCCATAAAAACGAATGTTATGTATGACAGAAATTTATATCTACGTCATTAATTTGCACCTACATACATACAGCCGATTGAGAGTTTAGAGAATCCCTAAAAGATCGCAACTAATAAACATTTATTAACCCTCAAAGGTTTTGTAATAGTTACAATGGAATCGATTCAAAGGAGAGATTTTAAAATGCGTGGATTTAAAAAAAAAACTTTTTCCATGAGCTCCAAATATCGTGGATTTTTTAAATTATTTTTTTCAAATACCAATACAAGGCGTGGATTTTTTAAATAATTTTTTTCAAGTACCAATACAAGGCGTGGATTTTTTAAATAATTTTTTTTCGTGGACCAATACAAGGCGTGGAGTTTTTAAATAATTTTTTTCGAGGACCAATACAAGGCGTGGATTTTTTAAATAATTTTTTTCGAGGACCAATACAAGGCGTGGATTTTTTAAATAATTTTTTTCGAGGACCAATACAAGGCGTGGATTTTTTAAATAATTTTTTTCGAGGACCAATACAAGGCGTGGATTTTTTAAATAATTTTTTTCGAGGACCAATACAAGGCGTGGATTTTTTAAATAATTTTTTTCGAGGTCCAATACAAGGCGTGGATTTTTTAAATAATTTTTTTCGAGGTCCAATACAAGGCGTGGATTTTTTAAATAATTTTTTTCGAGGACCAATACAAGGCGTGGATTTTTTAAATAATTTTTTTCGAGGACCAATACAAGGCGTGGATTTTTTAAATAATTTTTTCGAGGACAAATACAAGGCGTGGATTTTTTAAATAATTTATTTTCAAGAGCCAACCATAGGCGTGGATTCTTTAAATAATTTTTTTCAAGTACCAATACATGGCGTGGATTATTTAAATAATTTTTCTGAGGACCAATACAAGGCGTGGATTATTTAATTAATTTTTTTCAAATACCAATATAAGGCGTGGATTATTTAATTAATTTTTTTCAAATACCAATATAAGGCGTGGAGTTTTTAAATAATTTTTTTGGAGGACCAATACAAAGCGTGGAGTTTTTAAATATTTTTTTGGAGGACCAATACAAGGCGTGGATTTTTTAAATAATTTTTTTCGAGGACCAATACAAGGCGTGGATTTTTTAAATAATTTTTTTCGAGGACCAATACAAGGCGTGGATTTTTTAAATAATTTTTTTCGAGGACCAATACAAGGCGTGGATTTTTTAAATAATTTTTTTCGAGGACCAATACAAGGCGTGGATTTTTTAAATAATTTTTTTCGAGGACCAATACAAGGCGTGGATTTTTTAAATAATTTTTTTCGAGGACCAATACAAGGCGTGGATTTTTTAAATAATTTTTTTCGAGGACCAATACAAGGCGTGGATTTTTTAAATAATTTTTTTCGAGGACCAATACAAGGCGTGGATTTTTTAAATAATTTTTTTCGAGGACCAATACAAGGCGTGGATTTTTTAAATAATTTTTTTCGAGGACCAATACAAGGCGTGGATTTTTTAAATAATTTTTTTCGAGGACCAATACAAGGCGTGGATTTTTTAAATAATTTTTTTCGAGGACCAATACAAGGCGTGGATTTTTTAAATAATTTTTTTCGAGGACCAATACAAGGCGTGGATTTTTTAAATAATTTTTTTCGAGGACCAATACAAGGCGTGGATTTTTTAAATAATTTTTTTCGAGGACCAATACAAGGCGTGGATTTTTTAAATAATTTTTTTCGAGGACCAATACAAGGCGTGGATTTTTTAAATAATTTTTTTCGAGGACCAATACAAGGCGTGGATTTTTTAAATAATTTTTTTCGAGGACCAATACAAGGCGTGGATTTTTTAAATAATTTTTTTCGAGGACCAATACAAGGCGTGGATTTTTTAAATAATTTTTTTCGAGGACCAATACAAGGCGTGGATTTTTTAAATAATTTTTTTCGAGGACCAATACAAGGCGTGGATTTTTTAAATAATTTTTTTCGAGGACCAATACAAGGCGTGGATTTTTTAAATAATTTTTTTCGAGGACCAATACAAGGCGTGGATTTTTTAAATAATTTTTTTTTCAAGATCCTATAGAGGGGACGTGGATTTTTAAATAATTTTTTTCAAGATCCTGTAGAGGGGACTTGGGTTTTTAAATAATTTTTTTCAAGATCCTGTAGAGGGGATAATTTTTTTCGAGGACCAATACAAGGCGTGGATTTTTAAATAATTTTTTTTTTCAAGATCCTATAGAGGGGACGTGGATTTTTATATAATTTTTTTCAAGATCCTATAGAGGGGACGTGGATTTTTAAATATTTTTTTCAAGATCCTATAGAGGGGACGTGGATTTTTAAATATTTTTTTCAAGGTCTACCAAAGGCGAGGATTTCTTAAATAATTTTTGTCAAGGTCTACCAAAGGCGAGGATTTCTTAAATAATTTTTTTAATGACCTACTGTGTTTTTCAATAAATCCCATAGACGTGGAGGAACATAAATTTAAATTAGTTTTTAGTTATGAACATATTTTTTTATTTTATAAAATTGTATTCCTTTCCCTCGTTTCTCATGCATTCCCCTTTAAATTCCAGCATGATCCTTAATCCAATCCCTTACATAAGCAACCCTCGAATAAATACCCGGATAATTAGGCCGAGCACAACCATAACCCCATGATACGACACCAATTAAAATACCATCATCTGTGACCAATGGTCCACCCGAATCACCCTGACATGCATCCTTACCACCCTCAGCGTAGCCGGCACACAACATACGTTCCGTCACCCCACCAAATATGCCATATTTTCTCGAACAATCCTTTTGATTAAATATTGGAACCTTCGTTTGACGCAGCAACTGTTCCCAATCGGTCTTATTCTTCGTGTTACCCCATCCCGTCACCAAACACATAGTACCATCCACAAAGTCCTCCTTCAGCTTGGGTAACTCTACAATTTGTTTCGTCTCATCAAATTCAATTTCTCGGGATAATTTGATCAAAGAATAATCGTAGTCGACGTTGCGAATGCTGAACTTCTCGTGTTGTACCATTTCGACAACATCGAAGAGATCACCATCCTTGTCGGTATCGGTGCTGCCCAAACGCACCTTAAGGTCGGAGGCAATGCGTCCACTGAAAATAGGGGATTATTTTAAAATACTTCCTCGCCAATTTTTCTTTTTTACTTACTAGGTACAATGGGCCGCTGTCAGTATCCATTCCTTCGATATAATGGAACCACCACAAATGTGCATTGATCGGGTTTGCAGCGATATCTGATAGGGAGCATCGGTAATGTTTATCACCTGGCCACCAACAATGCGACCATCTGGCACTGGCTTAATGGGAAATTCACCTCCTTTGATGGTAATAAGTTCATCCGAAGGCTCGAGAGATCTGCCCTCCCTCACAATCAAGGCCCAACAGAAAATAATTAAAATTCCGAATCGAAACATTTTTGACTTCAACTCCTTTCGACTTGCAAGACGATGGTAAAATGTGTTCGGAATGCAAGTTGCAATGAGTTTTTATAGCCAATTTCCGAACATGACCTACATCGGAAAATAATGAAATTTGGACCATTTCGAGCCGTGTTCGAATGCAATGAAATTTTATTGCGGTTAATTATTATCTTCAATAATTTATTGCAAATATTGAATCTATGGGGGTGTCTTATTTTATGTTGGCAACGTGGTAGTATGAAAATGAACGGAACACTTTCAAAGGCCAAACAAGGCGTGGATTTTTAAAGAAGAATTTTTTCAAAGGCCAAACAAGGCGTGGATTTTTTAAAGAAGAATTTTTTCAAAGGCCAAACAAGGCGTGGATTTTTTAAAGAGGAATTTTTCCAAAAGCCAAACAAGGCGTGGATTTTTTAAAGAAGATTTTTTTCAAAGGCCAAACAAGGCGTGGATTTTTTAAAGTAGAATTTTTCAAAGGCCAAACAAGGCGTGGATTTTTTAAAGAAGAATTTTTTCAAAGGCCAAACAAGGCGTGGATTTTTTAAAGAAGAATTTTTTCAAAGGCCAAACAAGGCGTGGATTTTTTAAAAAAGAATTTTTTCAAAGGCCATACAAGGCGTGGATTTTTTAAAGAAGATTTTTTTCAAAGGCCAAAAAAGGCGTGGATTTTTTAAAGGAGAATTTTTTCAAAGGCCAAACGCGGCGTGGATTTTTTAAAGAAGATTTTTTTCAAAGGCCAAAAAAGGCGTGGATTTTTTAAAGGAGAATTTTTTCAAAGGCCAAACGCGGCGTGGATTTTTTAAAGGAGAATTTTTTCAAAGGCCAAACAAGGCGTGGATTTTTTAAAAAAGAATTTTTTCAAAGGCCAAACAAGGCGTGGATTTTTTAAAGGAGAATTTTTTCAAAGGCCAAACAAGGCGTGGATTTTTTAAAGGAGAATTTTTTCAAAGGCCAAACAAGGCGTGGATTTTTAAAGGAGAATTTTTTCAAAGGCCAAACAAGGCGTGGATTTTTTAAAGAAGAATTTTGCAAAGGCCAAACAAGGCGTGGATTTTTAAAGAAGAATTTTTCAAAGGCCAAACAAGGCGTGGATTTTTTAAAGAAGAAATTTTCAAAGGCCAAACAAGGCGTGAATTTTTTAAAGAAGAATTTTTCAAAGGCCAAACAAGGCGTGGATTTTTAAAGAAGAAATTTTCAAAGGCCTAACAAGGCGTGGATTTTTAAAGAAGAAATTTTCAAAGGCCTAACAAGGCGTGGATTTTTAAAGAAGAATTTTTCAAAGGCCAAACAAGGCGTGGATTTTTAAAGAAGAATTTTTCAAAGGCCAAACAAGGCGTGGATTTTTTAAAGAAGAATTTTTCAAAGGCCAAACAAGGCGTGGATTTTTTAAAGAAGAATTTTTCAAAGGCCAAACAAGGCGTGGATTTTTAAAGAAGAATTTTTCAAAGGCCAAACAAGGCGTGGATTTTTAAAGAAGAATTTTTCAAAGGCCAAACAAGGCGTGGATTTTTAAAGAAGAATTTTTCAAAGGCCAAACAAGGCGTGGATTTTTGGAGGATTCTTGGAGAATTTTTCAAAGGCCAAACAAGGCGTGGATTTTTGGAGGATTCTTGGAGAATTTTTCAAAGGCCAAACAAGGCGTGGATTTTTAAAGAAGAATTTTTTAAAGGCCAAACAAGGCGTGGATTTTTAAAGAAGAATTTTTAAAGGCCAAACAAGGCGAAGATTTTTGGAGGATTCTTGGAGAATTTTTCAAAGGCCAAACAAAGCGTGGATTTTTGGAGGATTCGTGGAAAATTGTTCAAAGGCCAAAAAGCCGTGAATTTTTGGAGGATTCGTGGAGAATTTTTCAAAGGCCAAAAAGCCGTGAATTTTTGGAGGATTCGTGGAGAATTTTTCAAAATAATAAACAAGCTCTTGAAATGCGTAGATTTTTTTTAAATCTAAATCTAGAATATCTTGTATTTTTATTTTCATATTTACTAATATTATTTATTTTGTTATTAACAATCCAATTAAATCACTTTTGAAGTATTCGACACTTACATGTGTCAGAAGACATTATGCGATCGTTTCATGTTGCCGGAAAAGAAAAATGTTGGGAATGTGTGTCAAGTACCCTGAAGCCTAGTGCAGGTGGCCCATAAAAATTGTGCCAATTAAAGTTTAAAGTCAATATGAAGAAGAGCGACAAGAAATGCTGGTGATAAAGACAAGAAACCCCTTTTGCCAGCTGGCCACAATGGGTGGTCGGTTGTCTTTGGATAATAAGGAGTGATAGTGTCGCACTAGGTATCTAGAGATAAGGGAGCCAAGTCACACTCCTATTAACTATAAAAATTGACTGAAATCCAATGTTGTAACAACAGTTCCGTTCTATTCGTTTCGTAGTAAACTGAGACGCAAAAACGAAAAATGACCAAAATATTTGTATTGGCATTTAGCCTCTGCCTGGTTGGCGTTTTGGTTAGGGAGACCCAAGGAAGAGGTTGTTTGATACCCAAAACAACCAGAAATCAAAGATCTCTTCAACAGGATGAGGATATAATTCCCATACCCCGTTTGGATGGCCGCATAGTTGGTGGACATAAGGTCAATATTACCGATGCTCCTCATCAGGTTTCTCTGCAGACTTCATCACATTTTTGTGGTGGTTCGATTATCTCCAAGCAATGGATTTTAACCGCGGCTCATTGCACAGAGTAAGTTACACAGAGAAGCGCTAAGAAACCAATATGTTATCCATTTTCTATAATTTCAGAGGCCGTACCGCTGAACGTCTTAAGGTACGCATTGGCAGCTCGGAATACTCCAAGGGAGGTGAACTCATACAGGTGGCAGAAATAGTACAACATAAAAAATTCAACTACTCGAATGTGGACTATGATTATTCGCTGCTGAAATTGTCGCGAGAAATTGAATTCGATGATACAAAGCAAGCTGTGAAATTACCCGAAACAAAAGATATGGAAATGGATGGAACCATGTGTTTCGTTACCGGTTGGGGTAACACCCAAAATGCTACCGAATCTCGTGATTGGTTACGTTTAGCTGAAGTTCCGATATTTAATCAGGAACAATGTTCAGATAAATATAGGAAATTTGGTGGTGTTACCGAACGCATGATATGCGCCGGTTACATTGAAGGTGGTAAGGATGCCTGCCAGGGCGATTCAGGTGGTCCATTGGTTACGGAGGATGGTGTCTTGGTTGGTGTTGTCTCCTGGGGTTATGGTTGTGCTCGTCCCGATTTTCCTGGCATCTATTCGAGAGTGTCATATGTTCGTGATTGGATTCGTACAAATAGTGGGGTTTAGATGAATTGTTGGAATTTAAATAATCATTTGAAATAAAATATAATTACAAATAAATTAAATTTTAATTTTATTATTTTTGAAAAATTCTACTTTAAAAAATCCCCGCCTTGTTTGGCCTTTGAAAAAATCTTCTTTAAAAAATCCACGCCTTGTTAGGCCTTTAAAAATGTTTTTTTAAAAAATCCACGCCTTGTTTGGCCTTTGAAAAAATTCTTCTTTAAAAAATCCACGCCTTGTTTGGCCTTTGAAAAAATCTTCTTTAAAAAAAAATCCACGCCTTGTTAGGCCTTTAAAAAATTCTTCTCTAAAAAATCCACGCCTTGTTTGGCCTTTGAAAAAATCTTCTTTAAAAAAAATCCACGCCTTGTTTGGCCTTTGAAAAAATCTTCTTTAAAAAAAATCCACGCCTTGTTAGGCCTTTAAAAAATTCTTCTCTAAAAAATCCACGCCTTGTTTGGCCTTTGAAAAAATTCTTCTCTAAAAAATCCACGCCTTGTTTGGCCTTTGAAAAATTCTACTTTAAAAAATCCACGCCTTGTTTGGCCTTTGAAAACTTCTACTTTAAAAAATCCACGCCTTGTTTGGCCTTTGAAAACTTCTACTTTAAAAAATCCACGCCTTGTTTGGCCTTTGAAAAAATCTTCTTTAAAAAAAAATCCACGCCTTGTTAGGCCTTTAAAAAATTCTTCTCTAAAAAATCCACGCCTTGTTTGGCCTTTGAAAAAATTCTTCTTTAAAAAATCCACGCCTTGTTAGGCATTTGAAAAATTCTACTTTAAAAAATCCACGCCTTGTTAGGCATTTGAAAAATTCTACTTTAAAAAATCCACGCCTTGTTTGGCCTTTGAAAAAATTCTTCTTTACAAATCCACGCCTTGTTTGGCCTTTGAAAAAATTGTTCTTTAAAAAATCCACGCCTTGTCAGGCCTTTGAAAAAAATCTTCTTTAAAAAATCCACGCCTTGTCAGGCCGTTGAAAAAAATCTTCTTTAAAAAATCCACGCCTTGTCAGGCCGTTGAAAAAAATCTTCTTTAAAAAATCCACGCCTTGTCAGGCCGTTGAAAAATTCTACTTTAAAAAATCCACGCCTTGTCAGGCCTTTGAAAAATTCTACTTTAAAAAATCCACGCCTTGTCAGGCCTTTGAAAAATTCTACTTTAAAAAATCCACGCCTTGTTAGGCCTTTGAAAAATTCTAATTTAAAAAAATCCACGCCTTGATTGGCCTTTGAAAAATGCTACTTTAAAAAATCTACGCCTTGTTAGGCCTTTGAAAAATTCTTCTTTAAAAAATCCACGCCTTGTTGGCCTTTGAAAAATTCTACTTTAAAAAATCCACGCCTTGTTTGGCCTTTGAAAAATTGTACTTTGAAAAATCCACGCCTTGTTTGGCCTTTGAAAAATTGTACTTTAAAAAATCCACGCCTTGTTTGGCCTTTGAAAATTGTACTTTAAAAAATCCACGCCTTGTTTGGCCTTTGAAAAATTCTACTTTAAAAAATCCACGCCTTGATTGGCCTTTGAAAAGTTCTCCTTTAAAAAATCCACGCCTTGTTTGGCCTTTGAAAAATTCTACTTAAAAAATCCACGCCTTGTTTGGGCCTTTGAAAAATTCTACTTTAAAAAATCCACGCCTGTTTGGCCTTTGAAAATTGTACTTTAAAAAATCCACGCCTTGTTTGGCCTTTGAAAAATTCTACTTTAAAAAATCCACGCCTTGATTGGCCTTTGAAAAGTTCTCCTTTAAAAAATCCACGCCTTGTTTGGCCTTTGAAAAATTCTACTTAAAAAATCCACGCCTTGTTTGGGCCTTTGAAAAATTCTACTTTAAAAAATCCACGCCTTGTTTGGCCTTTGAAAAAATCTTCTTTAAAAAAAAATCCACGCCTTGTTAGGCCTTTAAAAAATTCTTCTCTAAAAAATCCACGCCTTGTTTGGCCTTTGAAAAAATTCTTCTTTAAAAAATCCACGCCTTGTTAGGCATTTGAAAAATTCTACTTTAAAAAATCCACGCCTTGTTAGGCATTTGAAAAATTCTACTTTAAAAAATCCACGCCTTGTTTGGCCTTTGAAAAAATTCTTCTTTACAAATCCACGCCTTGTTTGGCCTTTGAAAAAATTCTTCTTTACAAATCCACGCCTTGTTTGGCCTTTGAAAAAATTGTTCTTTAAAAAATCCACGCCTTGTCAGGCCTTTGAAAAAAATCTTCTTTAAAAAATCCACGCCTTGTCAGGCCGTTGAAAAAAATCTTCTTTAAAAAATCCACGCCTTGTCAGGCCGTTGAAAAATTCTACTTTAAAAAATCCACGCCTTGTCAGGCCTTTGAAAAATTCTACTTTAAAAAATCCACGCCTTGTCAGGCCTTTGAAAAATTCTAATTTAAAAAAATCCACGCCTTGATTGGCCTTTGAAAAATGCTACTTTAAAAAATCTACGCCTTGTTAGGCCTTTGAAAAATTCTTCTTTAAAAAATCTACGCCTTGTTAGGCCTTTGAAAAATTCTTCTTTAAAAAATCCACGCCTTGTTGGCCTTTGAAAAATTCTACTTTAAAAAATCCACGCCTTGTTTGGCCTTTGAAAAATTGTACTTTGAAAAATCCACGCCTTGTTTGGCCTTTGAAAAATTGTACTTTAAAAAATCCACGCCTTGTTTGGCCTTTGAAAATTGTACTTTAAAAAATCCACGCCTTGTTTGGCCTTTGAAAAATTCTACTTTAAAAAATCCACGCCTTGATTGGCCTTTGAAAAGTTCTCCTTTAAAAAATCCACGCCTTGTTTGGCCTTTGAAAAATTCTACTTAAAAAATCCACGCCTTGTTTGGGCCTTTGAAAAATTCTACTTTAAAAAATCCACGCCTGTTTGGCCTTTGAAAAGTTCTCCTTTAAAAAATCCACGCCTTGTTTGGCCTTTGAAAAATTCTACTTTAAACTAACTTCTGTAATCATTGTCTTAATAAAAATTCAATTTATTTTCTCTTCAAAATCTTTTTATTTTTCTAACATATTCTGTGCTTTAAACACCACTATTGGTACGAATCCAATCACGAACATAGGAGACCCTGGAATAAATTCCAGGAAAATCGGGACGAGCACAACCATAACCCCATGACACCACACCAACCAGGACACCATCCTCTGTCACCAATGGACCACCTGAATCACCCTGACAGGCATCCTTACCTCCTTCAGTGTATCCTGCACATATCATACGTTCCGTTACACCACCAAATTTCTTGTATTTAGCTGAACATTCCTCTTGATTGAAAATCGGTACTTCAGCTTGACGCAACCAGGTACGAGATTCCATAGAATTTTGTGTATTACCCCAGCCGGTAACCATACAATTGTCACCATCCTTGGCATCATCCTTGGTTTCGGGTAGCTTGACCGGTTGTTTTGTTTCATCGAATTCAATTTCACGTGACAATTTCAATAGGGAATAATCATAGTCCACATTGGAGTAGTTGAATTTTTCATGTTGAACAATTTCCGCCACATCGATTAGTTCACCGCCCTTGGCAGATTCGGAAGTGCCCAGGCGTACCTTCATACGGTTGGCAGTTTTGCCACTGTAATTGAGAGGAATTATTATTTTCGGTTCTATAAAAATGTGTTCCAAAACTTACTAAGTACAGTGGGCCGCAGTTAGGATCCATTGCTTGGAAATAATCGAACCTCCACAAATGTGTGCCGAAGTTTGCAAAGAGATTTGATGCGGAGCATCGGTAATATTGATTTTATGTCCTCCCACAATGCGACCATCCAAACGAGGCGATCCTTCCACATTCATCTCCTCCAAAAATCTACCCTGGGCTGCAAAGGCGTGGATTTTTAAAAGAATATTTTTCACTTCTGTGTCGCGTGGATTTTTAAAAGAATATTTTTCATTGCCAAAACTTCCCAATCACCCGCGTGGTTTAAATGTGAAGAATATTTTTTCAAGGCTTCCCAAGGCGTGGATTTTTAAAAGAATATTTTTTCAAGGCTTCCCAAGGCGTAGATTTTTTAAAAGAATATTTCTTCAAGGCTTCCCAAGGCGTGGATTTTTAAAAGAATATTTTTCTCAAGGCTTCCCAAGGCGTGGATTTTTAAAAGAATATTTTTCTCAAGGCTTCCCAAGGCGTGGATTTTTAAAAGAATATTTTTCTCAAGGCTTCCCAAGGCGTGGATTTTTAAAAGAATATTTTTCTCAAGGCTTCCCAAGGCGTGGATTTTTAAAAGAATATTTTTCTCAAGGCTTCCCAAGGCGTGGATTTTTAAAAGAATATTTTTCTCAAGGCTTCCCAAGGCGTGGATTTTTAAAAGAATATTTTTCTCAAGGCTTCCCAAGGCGTGGATTTTTAAAAGAATATTTTTCTCAAGGCTTCCCAAGGCGTGGATTTTTAAAAGAATATTTTTCTCAAGGCTTCCCAAGGCGTGGATTTTTAAAAGAATATTTTTCTCAAGGCTTCCCAAGGCGTGGATTTTTAAAAGAATATTTTTCTCAAGGCTTCCCAAGGCGTGGATTTTTAAAAGAATATTTTTCTCAAGGCTTCCCAAGGCGTGGATTTTTAAAAGAATATTTTTCTCAAGGCTTCCCAAGGCGTGGATTTTTAAAAGAATATTTTTCTCAAGGCTTCCCAAGGCGTGGATTTTTAAAAGAATATTTTTCTCAAGGCTTCCCAAGGCTTGTTTTAAAAGAATATTTTTCTCAAGGCTTCCCAAGGCGTGGATTTTTAAAAGAATATTTTTCTCAAGGCTTCCCAAGGCGTGGATTTTTAAAAGAATATTTTTCTCAAGGCTTCCCAATGCGTGGATTTTTAAAAGAATATTTTTCTCAAGGCTTCCCAAGGCGTGGATTTTTAAAAGAATATTTTTCTCAAGGCTTCCCAAGGCGTGGATTTTTAAAAGAATATTTTTCTCAAGGCTTCCCAAGGCGTGGATTTTTAAAAGAATATTTTTCTCAAGGAATATTTTTCTCAAGGCTTCCCAAGGCGTGGATTTTTAAAAGAATATTTTTTTCAAGGCCTCCCAAGGCGTGGATTTTTAAAAGAATGTTTTTTCAAGGCTTCCAAAGGCGTGGATTTTTTAAAAATATTTTTCCAAGGCTTCCCAAGGCGTGGATTTTTAAAAGAATATTTTTCTCAAGGCTTCCCAAGGCGTGGATTTTTAAAAGAATATTTTTCTCAAGGCTTCCCAAGGCGTGGATTTTTAAAAGAATATTTTTCTCAAGGCTTCCCAAGGCGTGGATTTTTAAAAGAATATTTTTCTCAAGGCTTCCCAAGGCGTGGATTTTTAAAAGAATATTTTTCTCAAGGCTTCCCAAGGCGTGGATTCTTAAAAGAATATTTTTCTCAAGGCTTCCCAAGGCGTGGATTCTTAAAAGAATATTTTTCTCAAGGCTTCCCAAGGCGTGGATTTTTGGAGGATCAATTCGGAGAAGGAACACCTCGATTGGATGGTCGCATTGTGGGAGGACATAAAATCAATATTACCGATGCACCACATCAGATATCCTTGCAGACTTCGTCGCACATTTGCGGAGGTTCCATCATATCCAAACAATGGATTTTAACTGCGGCCCATTGTACTTAGTAAGTTAAAACAAAAATAATTTTAGAATCGAATATAATTTTTAATTTTTTTTTGTCAGTGGTAAAACTGCTGATCGCCTTAAGGTTCGCCTGGGTACCTCCGAATATGCCAAGGGTGGCGAACTAATCGATGTTGCGGAAATTGTTCAACATGAAAAATTCAATACCGCGAATGTGGACTATGATTATTCATTGTTGAAATTGTCGCATGAAATTGAATTCGATGAAACGAAACAACCCGCCAAACTACCCGAAACTAAGGAAATAGTCAAGGATGGTGATAAGTGTTATGTTACCGGATGGGGTAATACACAAAATATTTTGGAATCTCGTGCCTGGTTACGTCAGACGGAAGTTCCCATATTCAGTCAAGAGGAATGTTCACATAAATATGAGAAATTTGGTGGTGTTACGGAACGTATGATTTGCGCGGGGTACATTCAGGGTGGTAAAGATGCCTGTCAGGGTGATTCAGGTGGTCCATTGGTGACAGAGGATGGTGTCCTGGTTGGTGTGGTGTCGTGGGGTTATGGTTGTGCTCGTCCCGATTATCCTGGTATTTATTCGAGAGTGTCCTATGTTCGTGATTGGATTCGCACTAATAGTGGAGTTTAAATGAAGATTTTGAGAAATAAATATCTGGAAAATATAATTCATTTACCTTTTTTAATCTACGCCTTGGGCAGCCTTAAGAAAAATATTATTTTAAAAATCTACGCCTTGGGAAGCCGTAAGAAAAATATTCGTTTAAAAATCTACGACTTGGTTGGCCTTGAGAAAAATATTCTTTCTTGTTGAGCCTTGGAAAAAATCTTCTTTTAAAAATCAACGACTTCTGTAGCTTTGGGAAAAATCTTCTTTTAAAAATCTACGACTTCTGTAGCTTTGGGAAAAATCTTCTTTTAAAAATCTACGACTTATGTAGATCTACGCCTTGTTGAGCCTTGAGAAAAATATTCTTTTAAAAATCTACGCCTTGTTGAGTCTTGAGAAAAATATTCTTTTAAAAATCTACGCCTTGTTGAGTCTTGAGAAAAATATTCTTTTAAAAATCTACGCCTTGTTGAGAAAAATATTCTTTTAAAAATCTACGCCTTGTTGAGAAAAATATTCTTTTAAAAATCTACGCCTTGTTGAGAAAAATATTCTTTTAAAAATCTACGCCTTGTTGAGAAAAATATTCTTTTAAAAATCTACGCCTTGTTGAGAAAAATATTCTTTTAAAAATCTACGCCTTGTTGAGAAAAATATTCTTTTAAAAATCTACGCCTTGTTGAGAAAAATATTCTTTTAAAAATCTACGCCTTGTTGAGAAAAATATTCTTTTAAAAATCTACGCCTTGTTTGGTCCTTTAAAAAAAATTCTTTTAAAAATCTACGCCTTGTTTGGTCCTTTAAAAAAAAATTCTTTTAAAAATCTACGCCTTGTGGATCCTCGAAAAAAATATTCTTTTAAAAATCTACGCCTTGTTGAGAAAAATATTCTTTTAAAAATCTACGCCTTGTTGAGAAAAATATTCTTTTAAAAATCTACGAGAAAAAATATTCTTTTAAAAATCTACGCCTTGTTGAGCCTTGAGAAAAATATTCTTTTAAAAATCTACGCCTTGTTGAGCCTTGAGAAAAATATTCTTTTAAAAATCTACGCCTTGTTGAGCCTTGAGAAAAATATTCTTTTAAAAATCTACGCCTTGTTGAGCCTTGAGAAAAATATTCTTTTAAAAATCTACGCCTTGTTGAGCCTTGAGAAAAATATTCTTTTAAAAATCTACGCCTTGTTGAGCCTTGGGAAAAATAAAAATCTACGCCTTGTTGAGCCTTTAAAAATCTACGCCTTGGAAGCCTTGTTGTTGAAGCCTTGAGAAAAATATTCTTTAAAAATCTACGCCTTGTTGAGCCTTGGGAAAAGTAAAGTATTGAGCCTTGGGAAAAGTATTCTTTAAAAATCTACGCCTTGGGAAGCCTTGTTGAGCCTTGAGAAAAATATTCTTTTAAAAATCTACGCCTTGTTGAGCCTTGAGAAAAATATTCTTTTAAAAATATACGCCTTGTTGAGCCTTGAGAAAAATATTCTTTTAAAAATCTTCGCCTTGTTGAGCCTTGAGAAAAATATTATCTTAAAAATCTACGCCTTGTTGAGCCTTGAGAAAAATATTCTTCTAAAAATCTACGCCTTGTTGAGCCTTGAGAAAAATATTCTTTTAAAAATCTACGCCTTGGGAAGCATAGTTGAGCCTGGAGAAAAATATTATTTTAAAAAATTACGCCTTGGGAAGCATTGTTGAGCCTTGAGAAAAATATATTTTTTTAATCTAGTTCAAATTTAAAGTAATTTTATTTATCCATTCAATTCTTTTATTTTTCAAAATAACATCTGATTTAAACCCCGCTATTGGTGCGAATCCAATCACGAACATAAGACACCCTCGAATAAATACCAGGATATTGTGGTCGGGCACAACCATAACCCCATGACACCACACCAACTAAGACACCATCCTCCGTTACCAGTGGACCACCTGAATCACCCTGACAGGCATCCTTACCACCTTCAGTATATCCAGCACAAATCATGCGTTCGGTAACGCCACCAAATCTCTGATATTTTTCCGAACATTCATCTTGATTGAAAATGGGAACTTCAGTTTGTCGCAACCAATTACGACGTTCGAATACATTTTTGGTACTACCCCATCCGGTAACCTTACAATTATCACCGTCCTTAACATCCTCTTTGGTTTCTGGTAGCTTGGCGGGTTGTTTCGTTTCATCGAATTCAATTTCTCGTGCCAATTTCAGCAACGAATAATCATAGTCCACATTGGAGGTATTAAATTTTTCATGTTGAACAATTTCTGCAACATCTATGAGTTCTCCGCCTCGTGCATATTCGGAGGTACCCAAGCGTACCTTGAGACGATCAGCAGTTTTACCACTGCAATATAAATTAAATATTTATTTTGTTTTTTTTTTTATATCTTCCAAACTTACTAAGTACAGTGGGCCGCGGTCAAAATCCACTGCTTCGAGATAATGGAACCACCACAAAAGTGCGAAGATGTTTGCAGTGATACTTGATGAGGTGCCTCTTTGATATTAATGCGATGACCACCAACAATGCGACCATCCAAACGTGGTATACCTTCAATATCCTTTTGCTCCAAAACTCTACCCCGGACACCCATTAGGGATAATACCGATAATGTTACCATAAACATGTTCATTGTGGAAATTATTTCTTTAGTTAGTTCTTTTCTTCAAATGTGGTGAATTGGAACTGTTGTTTTAACCCAAATCCGCAATGGAATTTATACAAATGATTCAATTTAATCGAATTCATGTTTCATTGCAGCTTAGGGGCATTATCTAACCTCATACAGATAAAAAATACCCGACTTTCATTGCAGTTCCGCTTGGCACCACCCGCATTTATTTACTTTCAATTTTTGTTGTATGTTTAGCAAATGCGATTGTTGCACCAATAGACCCTAACGGTACTTAACACAATAATTATCGAACCGCTCGATAATTGTGTCAAGTTTAGTGGGAAACTATCAAACACCATGAGAACTATAACCGGTAATTTCTTTCAATTAAAGGTTCTACTGAAAGAAGGCTATCAGATAGATTTTTAAAAGAATATTTTTCCCCAGGCTTCACAAGGCATGGATTTTTAAAAGAACATTTTTCTCAAGGCTCAACAAGGTGTAGATTTTTAAAAGAATATTTTTCTCATGGCTTCCCAAGGCGTAGATTTTTAAAAGAATATTTTTCTCATGGCTTCCCAAGGCGTAGATTTTTAAAAGAATATTTTTCTCATGGCTTCCCAAGGCGTAGATTTTTAAAAGAATATTTTTCTCATGGCTTCCCAAGGCGTAGATTTTTAAAAGAATATTTTCCTCAAGGCTTCCCAAGGCGTAGATTTTTAAAAGAATATTTTTCTCAAGGCTTCCCAAGGCGTAGATTTTTAAAAGAATATTTTTCTCATGGCTTCCCAAGGCGTAGATTTTTAAAAGAATATTTTTCTCATGGCTTCCCAAGGCTATCAAGGTGTAGATTTTTAAAAAAATATTTTTCTCGTGGCTTCCCAAGGCTATCAAGGCGTAGATTTTTAAAAGAATATTTATCTCGTGGCTTCCCAAGGCTATCAAGGCGTAGATTTTTAAAAGAATATTTTTTTTTATCAAGGCGTAGATTTTTAAAAGAATGGCTTCCCAAGGCTATCAAGGCGTAGATTTTTAAAAGAATATTTTTCTCGTGGCTTCCCAAGGCTATCAAGGCGTAGATTTTTAAAAGAATATTTTTCTCGTGGCTTCCCAAGGCTATCAAGGCGTAGATTTTTAAAAGAATATTTTTCTCGTGGCTTCCCAAGGCTATCAAGGCGTAGATTTTTAAAAGAATATTTTTCTCGTGGCTTCCCAAGGCTATCAAGGCGTAGATTTTTAAAAGAATATTTTTCTCGTGGCTTCCCAAGGCTATCAAGGCGTAGATTTTTAAAAGAATATTTTTCTTGGCTTCCCAAGGCTATCAAGGCGTAGATTTTTATTTTTCTCGTGGCTTCCCAAAAGAATTTTTATTTTTCTCGTGGCTTCCCAAGGCTATCAAGGCGTAGATTTTTAAAAGAATATTTTTCTCGTGGCTTCCCAAGGCTATCAAGGCGTAGATTTTTAAAAGAATATTTTTCTCGTGGCTTCCCAAGGCTATCAAGGCGTAGATTTTTAAAAGAATATTTTTCTCGTGGCTTCCCAAGGCTATGTTCCCACGTTGATCTTTGAATGATTGAATAAAAAACATTCGTTCGTTGTTTCTTTAATTATTTTTTTATTTCGTTAACCAATTATGCTTTGCATACAGTTCCTGATTTTATTCTTCATATAAATAAAAGGAAAATAAATTGTAAGTAATGTTTAAAATAAAGTGTACCGTAAAAAACTCCATAGTTTACTCTACAACATAAATAAAGTGGCGGCCCACAGGTATGGAAGCACCACTTCCGTCTTCAATCAAAGTAATACTTTGTTTCTCAACATCGACCACCAGAGAGCCTTCAGTCAATAGAGATTTGCCAGTTTTGTAATCTTGGAATTCGGGCATTTTACGATGGCCCATAACAGGGTCATCATAACGCCAGATTTTCAAGGTTGATAAATCAGCTAAAATGGAAATGAAATACAATTAAAATTTAAAAAATGAAAAGAAAAAATGCTTGACTTACCCTTAAAGCCCAAAATCTTAGCCAGTTTTTCTTTCAATGTCTTTGTCGTTTCACCCTCTGAGACCACGGCATTTACTTGGAACAACCCTGACCTTTCAACGGGATTGGTAAAAACCACCGGTACATGTGGCGCCACGGTAAATGTTATAAACGGATTTCCAGGCCGTACTTCCTCGCGTGTCTTTTCAGGAGCGGCAGGATCATCGGTATATTTAATTTCCAAAGCCTCAATATCTAAGGTATTCTTCAAATAATCTAAATTGTCTAGAAGCACCTGTCGTTCATCGAATTCCAAAGAGACCGCCATGGCAGCCAAACCTTTACCACTTTCAACCTTTTCGCGGATCATCTGGGCGAATGGCATAACACGTTTCATATATTTCTTAAGGATTTCCTTTTGTCCCAAGGTAGTGGATATCAGTTTGTTATCCGGTAAGCAGTTGTTGTTGGCAGTGTAGAGTTCACGCATGGTATTCAATACACACGATTGCCATGGTGGATAGGTTTTGGCAACCCAGGCAACAGCACGATTGGGTTTAGCTGATGTTGGATCAACGGCCTTTTCTTTGCCACCCTTGCCCTTGACTTGCAGCAAGTTTTTCAAATTCAAACGGAATGCATGGGCAGCCTCCATAAGATATTCCGAGCACATAATGTCCGTCTCATTGATTGGACCAACTTCAGGCCAGCTGGCTAAGAGGATGGATTGCTTATTACCCAGCAAACCCCAAACATGTTCAGCAACATGAGGACAGATGGGAGCCATAAGCAATGCTTGACGGCGAATGAATTCGAAGACCAAATCGGCATGCATTCCTTGGGCCCCACACAATTCACGATACTTGTCACGGGTCAATTGCAATTCATAGAACCCGGAACGCAGGGCTTCCTTGAATAACATTTTCTTATAGAATTCATCCGTCTGTTGGGTCTTCAAATTCATTTCACTAATAAACACCTTGTCGTTGAAGGTGTGATGCGAATCTTTACGCATGGCAGGGCGGGCAGCAATCATCTCCTTTACCCATTCAATGAATGTGTAAAGACGCAAAATACCGGCATCAGCGGTAGCTTCAACAAAGTTGGCATCTTCAACACTATCACCAGCATCAGCCAAACACAGACGCATGCCATCAGCAGAAAACTTGTCCACAGCTTCGTGTAGAGTCAAAAAGTTACCATCGGACTTGGACATTTTTGCGGAGTTCAATAGTAAATGACCATTGACACGCACACCCTTGGGCCATTTGGTTTCATCCTTAGGCCACATGGCGGCATGATTGTACAGCATGAAAGTCAAATGGTTTTGTATCAAATCCTTGCCTGATACTCTCAAATCCATGGGGTACCAGTATTCAAATTCACGTCTCAAAATGTCCAGTTTTTCTTTTTGAATGCCACAGTTTTGGGGATAGGGAGTTTCCTTAAAGAAAATGTAATCCCACACAGCGGAGGTCATCTCCTCGGCCTTAATGCCCAAGGGGCTGGGTTTTTCACCACGGAAAGAACCACCTTGCAATAGATGGACCACGGTGTAGAAGGCCATGTAGATGGTGGAGTCGGACAAAGATTCAATCAACCACTGTTCATCCCAAGGCAATTTGGTACCCAAACCATAAGTACGCGAGCAAGCATATTCATGCAACCATCCAAGGCAGTGTTCGAAATTATTTCTAGCCTCTTCGTGGAATGTTTCCATTTGTGACAAAATTTTCTTAGCTTGTCCTTGCCACTCGGGTTCGCCATAATTCAAATACCATTGATTACACAGGGCGACTACACATTGATCACCCGAACGTGAAATAATGGTCTTCTCCGGTTCATAGTAGATATCAGCCTCTTTGGCGTTGACCAATTGCTTTTGCAAATCCTTTTTCACATCCTGTACCTTTTTGCCCTTGAAATCGCCCACCAACATTACGCCATCATAGAAACCTTTAAGGTAACACAATTCCTTGGCCTCTACCAATTTATCCTTGTCATTTTGAGATTGAATCTTGAATTTCTCATAGGCAAATTTTGCACACAAATTACCCAAAGTGGGGACCTCAATGATGGGGATGGGTTCATAGGGTACAACCATTTCATCGGTAAGACCATATTTCTGACGGAATGCCTCCTTCTTTTGTAAATCGAGCAAGGCGGCGTAATCGTCGGGAGAGTCCGAGGGGACAGAGGTAACAACACCGGTACCCTTATCTTCCTTAATGGATAACATGGGTAAAGTGTAGATTACTTTGTGGCTGGTCAAGGGGGAAGAGAGAGGAGTGCCAAGCAAATCTTGACCTGTCAATTCTAGAAGCTCTTCTACTTGACCTTCAACAGCGGTAAAGCCTTGGTAGGACATGTTGCGGGCAGCACGACGTGTGCTTACCCAAACTTCATCATTGCGTGTTGTCTTCCAGGCAATGTATTTGATATCGGGATGCAGCCAGCAATTGGTTTGACCATACATGGTTTCAGGTCTCAAGGTGGCAGCCACCAAGTAAACGGGAGCCTTAATGGAGCTAGAGAATATTTTTCTTTTAGATTGGGGATTCACAAAAATAAAATTCTACTTACCTTAATTTTCCCTTGTTTTCCAATACCTTCATTTTAATCAAAGTATATTCCTGGGGACCCACACCCTCACCCGTCGAACGATCATGATCCATACAGGGTTGTCCATCCTTGGGTGAGTAAATTGTATAACGTTTGCCATACATAACCTTACCACGATTTTTCAAGTGGACAAATTGCCAACGGACAAAGGAATCGAAGAAGGGATTTACATCTGTGGTAATGAAGGTGCGGCGCCAATCCACCTGGAGAAGAGCAAGCAAAGGATATTATTAATATTACTCTAATATAAAGAAGTGAATATCTACTTACATGCACACCAATCCTCTTCAAATCCTTCACAGCCAATGGAGGGAAATAGTTCAGCCAATGTTCGGCATGAGCAAATTCCTTAATCTCCTCATCCTTTAGACCCAAACTTTGCATAATTTGCCATTGATATTTGGCCGAACCGGTTTTGGCAACGGCCTTACTCTTTTTACCCTTCGACTTATCTTTAGGCACTTCAGCTTGCACTTCCACAACGGCCGCTTCCTCCTTGACGGCAGGGAATTGTGGTGGATAACCAAAATCTTCCATTTCACGTTTCAATTTATCGGCACATGCCTTGATCGGCATACCGGTACAATGGAAACCAAATGGCCAGAGCACACGTTTACCCTTCAAGCGATGATAACGTATGGCATACTCAGCTTTGGACAGCGAAAAGGTATGACCCAAATGCAAACGTCCATTCATATAGGGGAAGGGAAAGGTGACCATAAACTTTTCATCCAACGATTTCCTTGGCTCCAAGGTAGCATCTGTTTCATGCAAATGTTCCTTTTCCCATCGTTGTTGCACTTCCTCCTCGATTTTTTGTAAATATTCTACCTTAAAGGTACCTTTACGTTCGACAGCAGCCTAGAGGGGAGAAATCGATTCAAATTATTATTCATAATTTTAGAATTTATTGCATCAGATTCGTAGAAATGGGACCATCATGAGCCGGGTACAAAGCTAAAGCTCACTCCAGCACGTTGCTCTATGACTCAATCCCTCAACGACTTTCCCCGGTGGAATGTGTTGTTACTCACCATTTTTATAACCGAATATTGTTATTAACGATTGTTGTCGTAGTTTATAATATTTTTTTATTAATTACGCTAAATAAAACCAAAAAATCTTAGTAATAAAAGTGCAACGTGTTGTCCGGCCAACAACAGATGGATGTAAAGCAGAATACAGAGTGGGAACGGTTCTGTTGACGGCGGCAGCTTTTTTCTGTTACTAAACGGCTAAGAGGCTAAACACAATAGTAACGGTTTGCATTGGGCGTCTCAGCGTTGTTGAGTACACCAAAGAACCGTTTATTTCTCTGATGCGTAAAAAATCGTGAAGTTTTAATGATCATATTCAAAAATTCACATTTGAAGATTTTGGAGATATGATTATTGAAATAAGTAAATAATAATGTAATTTAATACCTAAATAATAATAAAAATAGGAGTATAAAATAAATAAAAAGAAGATGTAACCAGAAATGTTTGTTGAAATGATAGTGCCCTTATTGTCCAGATTCAAATATATAAAAAAAAAACAATATTCCAGACTCGTAGAATATCATTTTTATTCTTTCAGATGTTACAAAAGCTAACGCTAAACTTCGGGTGCGTACCAAGGCTTTGTCGCCGTTCAGGGTGATGGAGAATAATTTGATCATAAAAGAAAGGAATTAAGAAAATAAAAAGTGTCAAAGAAAATAGAAAGGTTAGGGCTGGTAGCTCAGCCGTGACAAGTTTTTGGCAGAGCTATAAATGATGCTGTGGCCTATAGCGGAAAAATGTTAAAATGTCTATTTCATATCCACTAAACATTTGGTGCCTACTGCATGGGTCTTTGGCTAGATGTCCGATCGTTTCCACCTCCTCTTCATCCATTCTTGTTGTTGTAGCAACAGAATACATGCGGTTCTGCTTCCTCTACCTCCAAATTTAAGAATGTTGCAACTTGAACGGGTTGCGTCCATGGTGATAGTCTCCTTGACCTAGGGGTTCACGCTTATACCTTTCGACCTCTCTCTCTAGATCATGAAGATTTTTATTGACGTGTGTGGGCGGGGGAGTCCTGATCATAAGACTATGACAGGTGTGTTCCCGACGATAGAACCCAAGCAAGTACTGCATCGACAACATGTAATTGTGTTGATGGACGGGTAAGATCTTCGTCTCCTCATGAAGATGGTCCACTGGAGTCATGAGGAGACACCCTGTTCCACTTCTCAGGGCAGCATTCTGGCAGGTCTTGATATTCTTCCACTGCGCATCACTTACATTCGCGAACCACACTGGCACCGCATAGCTTACCACTGACCGGCCTATTGTTTTGTAAGAGGTCAACAAGGTTTCTTTGTCAGCGCCCCAAGTGCTGCCGGTAAGCGACTTGAGGACCTTGTTCCTACTTCTAAACTTATCGCATAAAGAGTGACGAAGGCTGTCGAACTTTACTCCCAGTATCTTGGGGTAGTTGGTGGTCGAAATCAGTTCTCCATCGACCATTATGTTCAGTGGAAGCTTCATTTCAACCGTCCATGTGGTGAACAGTGTGGCTGTTGATTTTGTGGCGGATATTTTCAGATGGAATATATTAACCAGATCGGCTATCGGAGATTTGTCTTTACTATATTTTCGAACAGCTTCGCTTGGTTGACGGCATCATAGGCCTTCGATAGGTCAAGTGTCTATTCTGGTTCTGGTGGTGGTTGCTTCTATTCTACCAATTGAAATCATTGTTGTAGATATACGCATTGAGCTTGTCAGCAAGATAGATCGATTTTGAGGTTATACATTCAGGGTCCTTATTACCAAAGTAGTAGCTATGTAAAGTTTTGACAGAATCATCAATTGCTATATCGATTAACTTCGTTTCATCAATTGCTATATCGATTAACTTCGTTTCGCTTTATGTCGCCATGACTAGGAACCCAACAATGTCGAAAAAAGTATTGTATATCCCGCAGAGCTACTGAACAACTCTAGAGTTTGTAGTCCATAATTTCATTGCATTTGAAAGCCTATTCTAAGCCACAACTCGACCATGAACTCGACCCAATTTCATAGACCATAGAGGCTAAGACTGTGTTTATATTTTGACACTCCTTCCACTTTTAGCAGATATTCATTCATTAAATCCTTTCTATTTTCACGTTTTAGGGTGAATGTTATAGAGCTTTGGTCTAAACTATTTACGATTTCTTCTACTTCAATCTGAATGTGTAGTAATCTTCTCCCCTAGTAATTTCAATTGATTTCTCTACACCCCTCCGATTTTTTGTATACCCAGCCGTTCTATTTCTCATTTTTCAGAGTGAGGGACTGTAGATCTCTGAGTAATTTGCCATTGCATTGGAGCACCGAACCAACCAAATTTGGCAATCTGAGTTCTCATTGGGTAACAAATCTTCCTACCTTTCAATATTTTTCCACTATATACTCGTATTACCTCCTTCTCCTAGGAACCCCAAATATTATTGCGTTACCTAACGATTTTGTATCCAATACCATTAGGTGATTTTTTTATGTTTTGTGTGTTGGCATCTCCGATTGTGACTACATACTTTACGTCACACTTACGTTTGAGTATTCATATGGAATATTTCCGTTATTTTTAGGGTAGCTGTGCACGATACGTCAAGTTGGTTAAAAAAAATTTGGAAATAGAATTTTAGAAAATAAAATATGGTAAGAAATTTGTTATATAATCCCCAAATAAATGTAATTCCGCTTTAATTGTCTATGTTTCTCCAGGTTTACAAAACATCCAAACGTTTGCAAGCGCGTTTCAAAAGTTCTTGCCAACAAAAAGAAGAGCCAAAGAAACGTCTTCTGAATGCGGGAACAAATATTGAACAAAAACCTTGGCAGCCTACGACGCAACGAAAAGGTAAAAATGCCGGCCATCAATCGCTGGGAAAACCATCATATAAACTTGTACCACCCCTATTGGGCCCCAATATCATCGATTCTAAAAAGAAGTCGGCACCAGCCTATTCGATAAGTCGTAAAACCACACGACGTCATTTGCACATTGAAGATGGTCCAGCAAAATATAATGTTGCCGGGATTTACAACAAAGGTGTGCACAGACCACCGGCTTTTTCGTTGAAATTTCGTCCTAATGATTTAAAGAAATGGTCACCACCCGAACCAGGACGTTATAATATACAAACGGCAATATTGGCGACTACAAAAAGTACACCAGCATTTTCATTTGGAAAGAGACCGGTTGCTATAAAATCTTTGCCAACACCAGGTACGTACTGAGATTTTATATTTTTAATTGCATTAAAATATGTATATTGTTTGTTGCGTTTTCAGCTCCTAATGTTTATAACTTACCCACCACCCTGGGCACAGCAAAAGAAAGTCAAATAAAAGCTGCACCAGCCTTCTCGTTAATTGGCCGCGACAAACCCAGACAAATACCTGCTTTTATTTTACCCGGCCCTGGCCAATATGAAGATAATAGTAAACATTTTCGTAAATCACCACCAAAATATAGCATGCACACAAGGCACAAGGTTATTAGTGACGAACATTTGAAACCCGGTCCAGGTGCCTATTGTCCAGAAAGGGTAAGTTAAAATTAAAATTAGAAAAAATCTATGAGAATATGTTGAATTAATATTTAATGGGAGGGAGGAGACCATTAATGTGGACGCAGTGGTTTTAGACCACTATAAGAAAAAAAATTAATTTGCCATATAAAAATGTTCGATTATGTTCCATAAAAAATATATATTTATTTTTTTCCTAATATTTGGCAAGAAGTCCTTAAAATATTCCTTTTTGTGAGACAATGTTACTTTTGAGAATATGCATAGAACCCTATGGAAATTGTTAAAAATCGGTTCAGAGCTCCTATATATATCTTCGTCCAAAACCCAAAGTTGGGCCGATTACACAGATTACTGTATTAGGTTCAGATTGCTATGTATGCGATGTTTTGCTGAAATCGGATCAGATTTAGATATAGCTCCCATATATATTTTCTTCCGATTTTATGTAAATGGTGCACCAAAGACCCAAAGTTAGCCCGATCGGTAGAATTGTCAAGTTTTATTGAAATCTGTTTTGAAATGCAGGCATAGCCCATATATACTTTCGGGTGTCCGATTAGGATATGCTTTAAATCAATTTACATAATTTTATATATAAAAATATAGTATAGGTTTGCAGAATGGTATGTTTATGGATTGATCTAAGTCGGTTCTCATTTAGATAAAGATCACATATCATCCAATTTCATTTTAATGTTCATTAAAAAATGCGACGTCTGTTGGGATGCATTTGTTGAATATACCCAAAGTGGTGCATCCGAGCGAAAATGGGATCCATCGGTCCACTCCTTCTGGTACTACCCACTCAAAATGGTCTCCTTTTTTGAAAATGAATTTATTAATATTAGGCGAACATGTCATCCGATTTAAACCAAACTTTGCACAACCTACTTACTATGCCTGTATAATGATGGAAGATAGGACAAAGGTCGATGTTTTCTATTTTGATGCTTTTAGACGCATTGTCTCATTAATAGGTCTGTAATTTGGCATTCTGTAGTCCTCGTATCGTTTTCAGTAAATTTTCGATAATTTTAAGTTCTTTGCATATTGCATTTTCGTTTTTGATCAACGATTTATCGCCAAATTTTTGCTTCGATTATGCATTTAATATTCCTGGTAAATACAAAACGTCTTCCCAGACATTTTTTTCGATATGCGGTCATTTGTTGAGGGTATGTACTTGGTATTTAAGTTTCTCAGAGCACAAAACCCCTACTAGCAGATTATTTACAATGACATAGTTTCCATAGTTGCCTATTTTATATCTCTTTTCCAAATTACAATTAATCGTATGTCATATTTCTTCCAGTATGTTAAACACAAATCAGTACCGGCTCCCTCATTTTCAATACGTCATACTCCACATTTGGGTGAAAAGAAAATATATTTGATACCGGAGCCAAAAATCGTATCTTCAAAACCGGAGTGGATTCTATGAATTGTGAATAAATTCAAATACGTTAGTTTAGAGTTTATTGAAAATTTGAAGTAAAATTCTTATTTGAATTGGCTTTTCTAAAGAAATTTATTATTTTTTTAATAAAATATTTGCACATTCGGAAAAAATTTAATGATTTGTATTGCAATATTTAAATTTGAAATATATATTGGTTTCTAAAACCATCTTTGAGATTTTTTCAACGGCATAGTTAACACTGGAACTCTTGACCGACTTTACCGTAGTAGTGGCCGTAACATCAGTGGACCCGAAAGTATTACACGAACCACTAGCAGTATTCGATTGTTTGATGTTAGCAATTCCCTTAGCCTGAATTTTCGTTCTATGTAACCATTGCTGGTGGTGTGTACAGTGGTGGTCACCACATGACCACTTTCTCCATTCAGAGAATTTTTTTAAGAATAATTTCCCAAGGCTATCTTTGCCTGGATATTTTAAACAATATTTCAAATATTATTTTTTCCGAATATTTAATAATGATTATAGCAATAAATCCTGAATCCTGAAGAACATTTTTTCCAAAGCTCATCTTAAGAATTTTAGAACATTTTGTAAGGTTCAACTAAACGTTGATTTTTGAAATATATATTTTTTTTGCAAAAATATTTTCAATTTCTAACAAAGTCTTGAAATTTTAATGAGCATTGATTAAAAAAATGCAAAAAGGTTAACATAGTTAGGATTTTTAAAATAATAATTTTTAAGCCTGAACTAACCGAAGATTTTGAAAAAAAATTCTTCCAAAGGCTACTTTACCAGGGATTTTTTCAAGTCAATTTTTTGTAAGGCTCAACTAAGTTTGGATTTTGAGTATTAATTTCCTCACCTTGTCCTTTATAAATGAAAACATCAATTATTTTTATTTATGTTTTTTTATTATTTTTTGAAAATGTTAACTTTTATTACATAATTTGAGTTTTTTTCTCCGTTATATATCATTTATTTTTGTTTTTCTTAAATAGCCACAAATTGTTTTTATTATTACTTTTAGTTAGAAGACACAATTGTGTGTATTATTAGTATATTATACAAAATGTACATTGCTTTTATGTTTATAAAAAAATGTGTTAATATATAAAAATTAGAAAAATTTATCAAATAAAAATCGTTGCATTAAACAAAACAAAAATTAGAAAATAACACAGTTATTTATTAAAATATTAGTATTCGAGACAAAGTTTTTTTTTTTTTGTTTTTGAGATAAAAAGAGTAACAAACAATAAAAATCACGTTTCAAAAATATATATTAAAAATAATTATAATTTAGGACGAATAAGTTAAAAAAATAAAATACAATACAAGGCATCAGCAAATTAAAAGGGGATAATTTAAGCGAAAATAAGTTCGGTGTAAATTCCATGGGAAGAGATTGTTTAACAAATTCCAGAAAAACCATAATCATGATGTTCTCGAATATAGCCCAAATAGGGAGAGTGTTTTATGCCAAAACTATAGGCTGGAACATTGGAGAGATTTATCTGGAAAGAAATAAAAAAGAAAAAATTTAAATTTTAAAGGAATATTTTTTCATGGGGTGGATTTTTCAAGGCGTGGATTTTTAATGTAGAATTTTTCAAAACCCCAAACAAGGCGTGGATTTTTCAAACCCCAAACAAGGCGTATATTTTTTAAAGTAGAATTTTTCAAACCCCAAACAAGGCGTGGATTTTTTAAAGTAGAAATTGCCAAAGGCCAAACAAGGCGTGGATTTTTTAAAGTAGAAATTGCCAAAGGCCAAACAAGGCGTGGATTTTTTAAAGTAGAATTTTTCAAATCACAAACAAGGCTTGGATTTTTCAAAGTAGAACTTTTCAAACACCAAATAAGGCGTGGATTTTTTAAAGTAGAATTTTACAATAGCCTAACAAGGCGTGGATTTTTTAAAGTGGAATTTTTCAAACCCCAAACAAGTTGTGGATTTTTTAAAATAGAATTTTTCAAAGGCCAAAAAAGGCTTGGATTTTTTAAAATAGAATTTTTCAAAGGCGTGGATTTTTTAAAATAGAATTTTTCAAAGGCCAAAAAAGGCTTGGATTTTTTAAAATAGAATTTTTCAAAGGCGTGGATTTTTTAAAATAGAATTTTTCAAAGGCCAAAAAAGGCTTGGATTTTTTAAAATAGAATTTTTCAAAGGCGTGGATTTTTTAAAATAGAATTTTTCAAAGGCCAAAAAAGGCTTGAATTTTTTAAAATAGAATTTTTTAAAGACCAAAAAAGGCGTGGATTTTTTAAAATAGAATTTTTCAAAGGCCAAAAAAGGCTTGGATTTTTTAAAATAGAATTTTTCAAAGGCCAAAAAAGGCTTGGATTTTTTAAAATAGAATTTTTTAAAGGCCAAAAAAGGCGTGGATTTTTTAAAATATAATTTTTCAAAGGCCAAAAAAGGCGTGGATTTTTTAAAATAGAATTTTTTAAAGGCCAAAAAGGCGTGGATTTTTTAAAATAGAATTTTTCAAAGGCCAAAAAAGGCGTAGATTTTTTAAAATAGAATTTTTTAAAGGCCAAAAAGGCGTGGATTTTTTAAAATAGAATTTTTCAAAGGCCAAAAAAGGCGTAGATTTTTTAAAATAGAATTTTTTTAAAGGCCAAAAAGGCGTGGATTTTTTAAAATAGAATTTTTCAAAGGCCAAAAAAGGCGTAGATTTTTTAAAATAGAATTTTTTAAAGGCCAAAAAGGCGTGGATTTTTTAAAATAGAATTTTTCAAAGGCCAAAAAAGGCGTGGATTTTTGAAAGATTACTTTTTTTAAAGTAGAATTTTTCAAGGGCCAAACAAGGTGGGGATTTTTTTTAAGTAGAATTTTTCAAACCCCAAACACTTACCTTCTCTGGGCAATGAGCACCTGGTCCAGGTTTCATATTATCATCAGTGGGTAGCTTGTGTTTACCACCCATCGAATACATTGGTGATCTACGTTTTATGGCTGTATACTCGGAATCATAATATCCTGGACCGGGAAATAGTAATGTTGGCAGTTGTCGAGGTTTTTCACGGCCGGCCATAGAGAAGGCCGGTGCTGAGCGTATGTTACCCTCTTTGCTGATACCCAATACTGTGGGAATTCTATAGACATTAGGAGCTATAGGCAGATATGGGGAAAAACAACAACATGTATTAATAAAAAATTATTCATTCCTAAATAACCTAAGAATTGAAAATTTTCCAACATTTATGACAAATTCATGTTAGGCAATGAATGAATGTTTTAGTTGATTTTTTTTTTTTTTTTGGTTTTGGTGGGATTTGTTAGGTCGGGGGGAGGTGGTGGTTAGTGATGTAGCTCAACCTATATCATTTCCGAAATATCCCCTAGAATAAGGGTTGGAGATTAGCGAGGTTATTAAAGCTTAGTTTTTTTCATATTAGTTCTTAGTTTTGCTTTACCTGATAATTTCTTCTTGTATGGAACTGGCTTCAACGGCATATTTAACACTGGAACTCTTGGCCGACTTTACCGTGGTTGTGGTCGTACCATCAGCGGACACGACTGTATTACACGAACCACTAGCAGCATTTGATTGCTTGATATCAGCACTTCCCTTGGCCTGAATTTTCTTATTACCTTCTTCTTTGTAACCATTGCTGGTGGTGTGTACAGTGGTGGTCACCACATGGCCACTTTCACCATTCAAACCATTGATTTTTTCCAATTTTTGTGTAATTTGAGTATTTGTGCCAGTGGTCAAAGCATCATTTAATTTCAAATTAGCCAATTGATTTGTGGGTGATACTGATTTGGTGGTGGTGTCATTAAGGACATTGCCATTTAACAAAGTTTGTTTCCTAACAGTGGTCATGGTGGTGTTACTGTTGTTGGCCAATCCAGTATCGCCATTTGTTAAAACTCCTGCCAATTTATCTGTACCATTTACGGTGTGAATTTCAGTTACTGTTGTTGTTGTCGTTGTGGAGGTGGCCTTTTGTTGTTGTTCTTTTAGATGTTTTTGTTGCAGTAGCTGTTGTGTGGTGTTGCCATTCTCTAAGATGACAACATTGCGTACTACAGAGTGCATCAATTTAGATTTGAGGTTCATTGGGAATTGCAGCAAATTACATGGGGACAGACGTAGTGTATGAATTGGTGATGTCGCAAAAAATAATGTGAAAATAAAAATTACGATTTAATTGTATTAAAAAATGTTTAAATAAATTATTTGATTAAAAAAATATAAATTAATTAATTAATGGGTGCAGGGTGATTAGATAGTTTTAGTGGGGAAATAGATTGAATACAAAAAAGGGAGTTAGCATTGTTGAGTGAGTATTTTTACAGTATTTCAGAAAATAAAATACTTTTAATAATTTCGAAATAATGTGCAGTAGTAATTTTAAGTGCAGTGTATTTAATTCGTATTAATAATTTAATATATTTTTAATTCAAATATATATTTTTTTAATTCTAGTGTTATATATAAGACATGGCTGGTGCAAAGGAGTTAATAAGATTACAGAAATAGGCTGGTAAAATTTTAATTCTTTTTTAATAAAAGTTTAAAAATATAAACATGTTCCTTATTCCAGAGCTACCTAAGAACCTTAAAATATTGATTTGGAAGCCTGAAAGCACCAATTGACTCATTAATTTCATTGTAAATAAGTAATTATTCTAATTAAAAAAAGACATAATTATTAATTTTATGCTTTCTCTCTTGCAGTACTTCCGGAACATCGGTCATATTTTGTAACTTTGTGATGCGGAACTATATGCAGGAGTGTTTCAAAAATTACTGAATTTCATGTGAGTAGAACTTATTCAAATTCGAATTTTTATAACATTCCTATAGAATATAAGGAACAATGTACACAAACATTTCAATATTTCTGCATATATCATCCCACAATTTATACATGGTATTATGTCTTCGTGCATGTGTTTTTAACATATATAATGTTATATTAATTTGGAGGATATATTTGGATAAGGTTTGTCATCTATATTTTTTTAGTAAATTTAAACGTATTTATGTTGTTCTGTCAATTCGTATTGAAAATGTCTTGCAGTGTTTGTACTGTTCAGACTCTTATCTTGCAGTGTTTGTACTGTTCAGACTCTACAAATGTTTATGACTACATGGTTGTTAAATTTGAAATATTTTTGATTTTAAAAAAGCGCCAAATAAGCTATAATTAACAAGGCTCACGAATCACAACAATAAATATACAAATATTGCAATATACAATATCGAATATAATCGTGCAAAGAGTTTTTAACATTCGTTATTTTTAAACCCTTCACCATAGTATGGAGGGTATATTAATTTTGTTTTTCCGATTGTAAATAATCAATTCCGACTCTATAAAATATATTATATATTCTTGATCAGCGTAAAATTCTATGATTCTATATTTAGCCTCCTGCCCCCATATAAGGGTACCCCTAATTTTCGGTATTTTGGTGTTCTTGAGCGCATTTTCCAATTGAATTCGCTGAAATTTAGTATATTTTGACTTTTTGTTTACCAAAGTTCCCCACTTAAAATTAAAAATATAGGTCCACTTTTTATGGTGGCCCCCATATAACGATACCCCTATTTTCAGTATTTTTGGGGTTTTGAGCGTATTTTTTGACTGAGTTGGCTTTGAGTTCTTTGAGATATAAAGATCCATTTTCTCGGGTAGCCGCCGTATAAGGGTACCCTCCAATTTTCGGTATCTTTGGGACCTTGAGCGCGTTTTTCAACCAAATGCGCTGTAATTTGGTATAGCCCCAATGTCATCCTCATGGATGAGGACCATGTTTCCTAAGACCAAGGAATTAGTTTTATTTGTATAGTTTCTAGTTTGATACATCGTTTTCCATGCCGTTCGATTTGAGGTATTTTGAATGTTTACGTCATAGTGGAGAAATGACACAACGTTTTTAATTGTTTTTAAAAGGTCTTTAAAAGGAATTCTCCGTTCATAAAAGTATATCTTATATGAGGATATCTATATACTGAATACTCTTCATAGATGTTTTATATTTAAGGGGACCCCCCATTCTCGGCTTCAAAAAATTTAATTTTTTATTTTATTTTAATTGGAATCTAAACAAATTCAAGAATGTCTCTACAAGTGGAAATCTAAAGAACTCTTGAAAATATAGCCGACTTTTCTTTAATCACCAAAAACAAAAACAAACCAATAAATGATCAATTTTTGGTATCTTCTACTCAATAATCCAAAGTGTAGAATTACCGTCAATTTTGTTAAAATACCTGGCAAAACTCCTTAAAATACCGATGTTTGGGATGTACGTTATTTTCATTGTCACAAAATGTTCGTTGAGATTTTAAGTTCTTCCTATCAACAATTATAAATATTGGTCGATCTTCTTATGGTCCTACGGCGCATTTTAGCGTTATGAAGTGTCCGTAATTTGGCATTGTGGGTCATTGAACATCTTCTACACAGAACATTTTACATATAAATTCATGTTTTCGATATGTTCAAGGTCCTACACCAATTTTCCAGTCCGATTTCGTAAATTGTTTTCTCCTTTTTTGTTTTACTCGGCGGCAATTTACCATGAATTCCGATCACATGGTGGAGGGTATAAAGAGTTCGACGAGATCGAATACTTTTCAAAGATCTGATATAAATAGGAATTCTATATTTATAAGACACTTGATCATGTGAATAATTTCGATTAGGAACTTGACACTTTATGGAAGACTTGTTAGCAATATGTCGATTATTCTAGTATATAATAAAATAGCTAATTAAAACAAAATTTAAATATATTCTATAAAAGTATATTTAGCAACCATCTTCCACAAGTGATTAGAAATTAAAGCTAAAGTTATTTTGAACATTTTCTTAAGCAACTGTTAGTGATTTTTTTTATTATTTTTTGGAGTTGAAATTTATTGTTTTATAGCCAAAGTTTTGTGACTTCCTAACTGACTAACTCTTACCAGGACTTTTCATACGTCTTTCGCGTCGCTGCATAATACGATCTTCAACATAAGGACCTCTTGGCATAACTGTATATAGTTTAACGCGAAAATTATGTTTATATATTTGATATAAACACATACATATAACGAAAAATCACATACACACATGTATATTTACACACAGATTTTTTAATGTAAATAAAAAATGAAATGAAAAGAAAAAATATCAATTAGGAAAAAATAATAAAAAATCATATTTACAAAATAATATGAAATAAAAGTCGAAAATAATAGACTTTGTAAAATGACAAGGAGGATAGAAAAATCGATGAATCGATTGAAATGCATAGCATGCGAATGTAAATGATTATTGAGTGTGGTACTTTTGTAAAGTCTCTGTTTGGGTTTTGCTTCTTACCTGGCATTATTGATGTTTTGTGACCAAAGGTGTATGCAGGAGAGTGTTCGGGTTTATAGTTTTCTGGATGATAATGACCGGGAGCTGTGTTTGTTTTTTTGTTTTTGTATGTAAAAAGAGTAGAAAGGAAAGTTAATAAAAATCGAGAATTAAGAGATAAATGCAACAGAACGCAAAGAATATAGGACATGCAGTTAACAGCGGGTAGTAGGTGCTTAGGTAGAAGGAAAATAGTTCCTGAGTTCGATTCTACGAACCTCATTTCCGATTTTATTCCCCGAATTCCAAATTTTTTCTATTGAAAAAAATCGCCGAACTTCAGTTCCGATTTTTTCTTTATAGAACAAAATTTGACGAACCCCAGTACGGATTTTTTTCTATACGAAAAAAAATGAACCTAAGTTCGGATTTTTTTCAATTCTGATTTTTTACAGAAAAAAAAAATTCGCCGAATCTCAGTTTGTATATTTTTGTATAGAAACAAAGTCGCCGAACCTCAGTTCTTCAGTTTCGATTTTTTTTTTCTAAAGAAAAAAATCGCCGAACCTCAGTTTGGATATTTTTTCTATAGAAAAAATTCGCCCAAACTCACTTCGGATATTTTTTTCTGTAGGACAATATTCGCCGAACCTCAGTTCGGTTGTTTTTTCAGTTTCGATTCTTTTTCTATAGAAAAAAATTCGCCGAACCTCAGTTCGGATATTTTTTCTATAGAAAAAATTCGCCCAAACTCAGTTCGGATTTTTTTACTTTCGATTCTAATATTTTTCTTTGATTCTTGCAGTTTCATACCTGGTGCATCAACAACCGTTTTAGTTACGGTTTTACTACCAAAAGTGTAGGCTGGTGTGTGATCTAGGGTGTGTTTTTCGGGTTCATAGGCAGTGGGTGCTGAATAAATAATAATTTTTAAATTTTATATTCACAAAACAGGCAAACATGCTCAAAAGGACTTCGAAGTGTATCCCACTTACCTGGAGTATCACTGACTCGTTCCTGTTTCAATTTCATGCCGAACGTAAAGGCTGGGGTGTGACCCTTGGGGTCATACATTTCTGGCTTATAATCTCCTGGTGCGGGAGTGGTCTCCAAATGTTGGCTAACATTACGACCGGTAATGGTATAGGCTGGTGTATGATCAAGACGAACCTTTTCGGGACAATAACTTCCTGGTGCCGGAGTATCGCTAACAATTTTCACCTCTTTGCGGCCAACAATTGTAAAGGCTGGGGTGTGATCAAGACGTACCTTCTCCGGTGCATAATCACCTGGAGCTGGTGTATCTTGGGGTTTTTGTTGCTCATGGCGTCCCGTGATAGAATAGGCAGGGGTATGATCTAAACGTACCTTTTCGGGAGAATATGCACCCGGAGCCGGGGAGTCACTTATTATTTTATTCTCCTTGCGTCCGACAATTGTGAATGCGGGTGTATGATCTAAGCGTGATTTTTCCGGTGCATAATCACCGGGAGCAGGTGTATCGCTAGGTTTGTGCGTATCATGGCGTCCGGTAATTGTATAGGCGGGTGTATGATCGAGACGTACTTTCTCGGGGCTATAGGCACCAGGGGCTGGAGTGTCGTTTTGAATTTTCGGTTGATGTTTACCGGCCATAGTGTAGGCGGGAGTGTGATCTAAGCGTACCTTTTCGGGTGCATAATCACCGGGAGCGGGTGTGTGATTGGTAATTTTTGGATCATGCTTACCGGCCATGGTGTAGGCAGGGGTGTGATCTAAACGATGTTTTTCGGGAGCATAGTCACCGGGAGCTGGGGTGTCGGAGGGTTTTTGGAGGTTGTGTCTTCCGGCAATCGTGTAGGCTGGGGTTCCATCTAGCCTGTGCTTTTCGGGAGCATAGTCACCGGGAGCAGGGGTGTCGGAGGGTTTTTGGAGGTTGTGTCTTCCGGCAATGGTGTAGGCTGGGGTTCCATCTAGTCGATGTTTTTCGGGAGCATAGTCACCAGGAGCTGGGGTGTCGGAAGGTTTTTGTAGGTTGTGTCTTCCAGCAATGGTGTAGGCTGGGGTTCCATCTAGCCTGTGTTTTTCGGGGGCATAGTCACCGGGAGCGGGAGTGTCTGAGGGTTTTTGAAGATTATGACGTCCTGCCATTGTGTAGGCTGGGGTATTGTTGAGCTTCGATTTTTCCGGTGCATATGCCCCGGGGGCTGGAGTATCACTTGGCTTCTGCAGATTATGACGTCCTCCCATGGTGTATGCGGGGGTGCCATCCAAGTTATGCTTCTCGGGGGCATAAGCTCCAGGTGCTGGAGTGTCACTGGGTTTCTGCAGATTGTGACGTCCTGCCATGGTGTAGGCAGGAGTATTATCGAGCTTCGATTTTTCTGGTGCATAAGCTCCTGGCGCAGGTGTGTCACTGGGCTTTTGTAGATTATGGCGACCGCCCATGGTGTATGCGGGGGTACCATCCAAATTATGCTTCTCGGGGGCATAATCCCCAGGTGCTGGAGTATCACTGGGCTTTTGCAGATTATGACGTCCTGCCATGGTGTAGGCTGGTGTATTATCGAGCTTCGATTTTTCCGGAGCATAAGCCCCGGGTGCTGGAGTATCACTGGGCTTCTGCAGATTATGACGTCCCGCCATGGTGTAGGCTGGTGTATTATCGAGCTTCGATTTTTCCGGAGCGTAAGCCCCAGGCGCCGGGGTGTCACTGGGTTTTTGCAGATTGTGACGTCCCCCCATAGTGTAGGCTGGAGTACCATCCAATTTATGTTTCTCCGGAGCATAATCTCCAGGTGCAGGAGTATCACTTGGCTTATGCAAATCATGCCGACCTGCCATGGTGTAAGCTGGTGTATGGTCAAGCTTCGACTTTTCCGGAGCATAAGCTCCAGGCGCCGGGGTATCACTGGGCTTTTGTAAATGATGGCGTCCGGCTATCGAATAGGCTGGTGTCTTATCTAAACGACATTTTTCCGGAGCATAAGCACCAGGCGCCGGGGTATCATTGCTGACCTTAGGATCATGCTTACCAGCCATAGTATAGGCCGGAGTATGGTCCAGACGTACCTTTTCGGGAGCATATGCTCCTGGAGCTGGGGTATCACTGGGCTTACTCAAATCATGACGTCCTTTAATTGTATAGGCTGGGGTGTGATCCAGTCTCACCTTTTCCGGACAATAGGCTCCAGGAGCTGGGGTATCGCTAACAATTTTGGCCTCCTTACGGCCACTTATCGTATAGGCAGGGGTGTGGTCCAAGCGCACCTTCTCGGGTGCATAGTCGCCAGGGGCTGGTGTATCACTGGGCTTACTGAGGTCATGTCGCCCTTTAATCGTATAGGCAGGGGTGTGATCCAGTCTCACCTTCTCCGGACAATAGGCTCCTGGTGCAGGGGTATCGCTGACAATTTTCGCCTCCTTGCGACCACTTATCGTATAGGCAGGGGTGTGGTCCAGCCGCACCTTCTCGCGTGCATAGTCGCCAGGAGCTGGGGTATCGCTGGGCTTGTGCGCCTCATGGCGTCCCTTTATGCTGTAGGCAGGGGTGTGATCCAGCCTTACCTTCTCTGGACAATAGGCTCCTGGGGCAGGGGTATCGCTAACAATTTTTGCTTCATGTTTTCCTGCAAAGGTATAAGCCGGGGTATGATCCAAGCGAACCTTTTCGGGGGCATAGGCTCCAGGGGCGGGAGTATCGTTGGTTGTTCTCATGCTATGCCGTCCGGAGATCGTGAAGGCTGGTGTCTTATCCAATTTACATTTTTCCGGTTCATAAGCACCAGGGGCTGGAAAATCGTGGAGGTGGATTGAGGGTTAAAATGAATGGAAAAAGGTGTTGGAAATGTTATGAGATTCGAATAGGAGTATGATTTATGGGGTGCAAGACCAGAGAAGCTAATTTTCAAGAACCAAAAATAAGTGCGAATTTAAAAAAAATTCTTGAAAGCATTCTCTGTGATTGAGGGTAGGAAGAGGAGCAGGAGTGTTCTCCGTCCTCCCTTCCCTTAAATTATTTTTTATTGTAGCTTCCGATTTATTTTTGTGCTACTTACCCGGTGTACAATCAACCACATCGTGTGTCCCCTTGCCGGTAATTGTGTAGGCTGGTGTAGAGTGTAAATTGGCCTTTTCAGGGCTATATGAGCCCGGAGCTAAATTAAGTAAAGAAGCAAATAAAATTTCAATTTAATTTAAAGAAGCTTTTTTGAAGATTTCTACAAAAGCTTTAACACAAAACTACAAAAGCTTTTTAATAACAAGAAAACTCAACAAAAAAATTACACAAAATTAATTAAAAAAATACTATTTTTTATTAATTTGTTTTAACTTTACCTGGTGTTCCCTTATCGAAGTAAATTTTAGTACGTCTACCAAATGAGTAGCGTGGTGAATTCTTTTTCACTATCGACACCCTCTCGGGTCGATATCTATTTGGCGCTGTGAATTTTTGTCATTTTTTGGTGGTGGTTTTGGTTAGTTGGAAAAGTAGGCACAATTTTCAATTTTATTGAAAAAAATATTATTTTTGTTTTTTTTTTTGGAAGAAGAAGAAATTATTTTGTTTAAAGAAATAAAAACAAAAATTAACACGAAATACAAAATTAAATAAATGCTTAGAGATTCAATCTAATATAGAATATGTGCAAATTATTCCAACTAAGCCTAAAAGCAATAATTGCCTACACCATTTGTAAGCACATTGTGCAAGGTGGTGCCTCCTTTTCATAAAAGCACAGTGAATGGTGATAAATATTTATGTACATGAGTAGATATTATGGTGATTTAGAGAGCTATATATGAATATTGTATGGGAATATTTGTATGTACGCATGATATTTTAATTTAAAAACAAGTTTTTTTAATGTGAACACAAATGGATGATTAAAAATTAAAGCGCCTAAAAGTAGGCAATATTTTTTGGATTTTGTAGTTAACCTAAAAATATGCAACGTTTTTAATTTTTATAATATTCTTTTTATACTATATTTTCTAACACTCCTAAAAGTGTGCAATATTTTTTATACCAAATAAGGTTTGGATTTTTTGTAAGAAGCCTTAGACGTGTTTTTTTCAGGCACCTATAGGCGTAGATTTTGTAAAGAATATTTTTTCATACACCTATAGGCGTAGGTTTTTTAAAGAATATTTTTTCAGGCACCTATAGGCGTAGATTTTGTAAAGAATTTTTTTAGGCAACAAACAGCCTAGGCTATTTAAAAAGGTGTGTAGAGACCTATAGACCTAAAATATTTTTTTCGGACACCTATAGTCGTGTATTTATTTAGAGAAAAAAATTCTGAGGCAGTGTGGGTTTTTTTAAGAAGAGTTATGTGAGGCAGTTATAAGTGTGTGTGTTTTTTTTTTTGAAGTATGATTTCTGAGGCAGTCATTTGCGGGTATTTTTTAAAGAAGAATTTCAGATACCTATGTCGTGGATTTTAAAAAATATATTGTTTCCTAATTTCCTTATATTAAGATCTGGATTTTTTAAAACATATTTATCTTAAGCCACCTATTATCTTTATTTTTTTAAACATATTTTTGAGGTTTTTATGTGAATTTTTTATACTCTTTCGCGTCAAGCTTAATTATCTATGTTTTGCAATGAAAAGGAAATGCATGAGAAGAACCTACGCACCCACCGCTATGCGACGCGTTTTGTCGGGTCATCAGGCATATTGGGCTATGTGGCTTTTCAAAGGTCGTATGTTGATAACTTGTATTTATGTCGCCATTGATGAGAAATTCCATCCTTGAATTAAATTCAAATTTTTCAAGGTTCGACATTTGCCCTTCTAGAGACAGTCCTTTTCAAAGCAGATTTTTCTCTCACCAAGTTATTTTAAAAAGAAATTTTGATTTTTAAAAATGATTTTTAACCTGTGTTGAGCCCTTTTGATATTGGTCCTTCGAGCCGAATCAGCGCCCGATAGTAGAGAGAATAAATCTCCAAATAAATGCTGAAGAAATTGCCCTAACTTTGAGGAAATTCCGTCAGCTAGGATGCCATTTATCTTAAAAAATGGATAATTTACGAGCTAGAATTATTTGTGTTGGAAAGGATAATCCAACAATAATAATCGTGCTAAATCTGTGACCTTTAGTATAGAATATTTTTCCAAATTAATACTAAAGACGAACTTTCGCGAGCTAGGCTGAAAATTGTCTTCTAAAGTTGAAAAATTACGAGCTAAAATTATAGGTGGAATTTTTTCCAGCAAGAATAATCCACGATCCATATTAATCGTGTATTCTTATGGCCCTGTTGACATTGGTCCTTCGAGCTGAAAAAGTAACCATTAGTGTAGCAAATAAATCTCCACACAAATTCTGAAGAATATGCCTTAATATTTTCAGGCTAGAATTATAGATGGAATTGTTCCCAGAAAAAATAATTCAGGAATAATAATTTTGAAGAATTTCGAGCCTTTCGATATTGGTCCTTCGAGTCGAGGAAATTCCGTCAGCTAGTTTAAATATTGTCTTCCAAAGGGGGAAATTTACTGGCGAGAATTATAGCTGGAATTATTCCTGGAAAGCGGAAGTTAATCAAAATAATGCTGAAACCTGTTGTTCGAGTTGTCGTGAGGGACTTCATATTATGTCTATTCTCGGAGAGTAAACTTCAACTTGACATTGCATTTTTTCCGTATTATAGTTGGTTCGTTTCCAGTTGTTAAAATCTTTCAATGCGCCTTTTTTGGGTGACTTAACAACAAGATCGTCCAATTTGGAGGCAGTCCCTCTTCCTCCCAAGCTGAAATGATGTACATTCGCATCTGAGTTACTTCGAATGTACATCATTTCAGCTTGGGAGGAAGAGGGACTGCCTCCAAATTGGACGATCTTGTTGTTAAGTCACCCAAAAAAGGCGCATTGAAAGATTTTAACAACTGGAAACGAACCAACTATAATACGGAAAAAATGCAATGTCAAGTTGAAGTTTACTCTCCGAGAATAGACATAATATGAAGTCCCTCACGACAACTCGAACAACAGATATCTTCCACATAATGTATGTCATTGTGTGGAATTGAATTGAAGAGACTGGTTCGCAATGTTGTATTTGAGATAAGAAGCAAGAAAACTACGGCTACAGAGCGAGAGCAGTATTCGGACGACATGAGGATATGACTCTTGTCGGGTTTTAGCGCTTCGGCCGGAAAACCATTTTCTTTTTTCCAGCTGTTTTGTTACTTTTTAGTGATCTATTCTTCAAAAATTTTCTCTCCAACTTTGAATTTGTTCATCATTGTTTTTATTATAAGTAGCCATCCTACCATTACGATATTTTATTACTTGACTCCTAGTACACCTTCTATCTGTGAGACTATCTATTGTCCGGTATATATTCAGCTGCATCTTCGGATCCTTTCTTTGAGATATTACGTTTCAAGTGTCGTCTGTCTGGTTAGCTTGTAAATTTTTGCATATTGCCCTGGCTATGGTGTTTCTGAAGAGTTGTAGGCGTAATTCTTTCGTCTGGCATTTCTTTATATGTATTTCACCTTGATCCTGATTTCGCATATAATGAGCTCTACGATGTATTGATTTTGTTTCTGATGCCTGGACAAATTATTTTCATATTTTACTTGTTGTTGCGAGGATTGCCGTTCTGTGAGGTCCTTGTGTATTTATGAATCTGCGGCAAGATTAAGCCATCAATGAAAAGCTACAATGTGCTCTGAAAAGGAATGTTCTGGTGTGATGCCAAATGTCCGAGCCTTGACACGGTTGAATTTAATTCGTAGATGCAATTTCGCAACAATAGTCGACATAAATACAACTTATCAAGTAAAGACATTTGTAAGCCACATTGCCCAATATGCCTGATGAGCCGCTTAACCAACGCCGAAAAGCGTCGCATAGTGGTGGGAATGTAGTATCTCTCTGGCTTTCCTTTTCATTGGAACTCCGATCATGCAGCTCATCTCGAAAGAGAAATTAATAAAAAACATTTACATGAATGATCCTTTGCCCTAAAGAGGCATAAAAACAAAAACTAAAAAATTCAGCTTGAGCCCGGCTGGGATTTGAACCCTGGTTCGCATGGCATCTGTTGGTGTCCGGCGCCGTAGCGTTCAAAGCCACCTCCTTATCTTTCAATATGCAGTTGCATAGCATTGAAGGAAAATATTGTAGTCTGTATGGAAAAAAAGTCCGTCACTACAAGAAAAATCTGCTCTGAAAAGGAATGTTCTGGTGTGATGCCAAATGTCCGAGCCTTGACACGGTTGAATTTAATTCGTAGATGCAATTTCGCAACAATAGTCGACATAAATACAACTTATCAAGTAAAGACATTTGTAAGCCACATTGCCCAATATGCCTGATGAGCCGCTTAACCAACGGCGAAACGCGTCGCATAGTGGTGGGAATGTAGTATCCCTCTGGCTTTCCTTTTCATTGCAACTCCGATCATGTAGCTCATCTCGAAAGAGAAATTAATAGAAAAGCTACAATGTTTAACACCGTTCTATGAGTCGCTAAACCATTATTATTTTTACTCCACATCCATGCTTTCCCATTTTTTTAACGAGGGTGTTGTTTTTGGCGCTCCCTATTTTTAGAGTTACTCATGGGAAAACTTTCCGAATTTCATTAAGTGTTGATGATAATTGTTCGTAGAATATATCTTTAAAAGTATCTAAACTATTTTCTGTTGCGCTGTAGTGTAGTGGCATGTCTAAAATTGATCTTGATCCGATATCTTATATTGGTTTCCATGTATCCAACGACTTCTTAGAGTTCTTCGCAATTTTTGTTTCCAAGGTATAGTACATATGTAAAATGCATCGCGTTTTTCATCTCATTTCGCTTATACCTAAGACTTCGATCTTATACGATGTTGTTCCTGCAACTATGTTGATTATTAATCTACTGCAGGGTATGCCAAGTGATGCGGCTGTTTTTCATGTTTCCAACGACTTTTTGCGTTCTTCGACATTATGATCCTAACTCCGCTTTCAAGGTAATTTTCTTTTCCAATATATAGTACATAGTACATTGCCATAATTTTCTGTTGTTCATTTTGCTTGTTTCAGTTTCGTTAATCAGTAGATTAGTAGATGTTTGTTATACTGTAACCTGTCCTAGGTGATGAAGCAGCCATCTATCGCTGCCTACACTCGACTATTACCCTAATCTTGTGCAGTGGTTAGGGTCCTTGCTTATTTATTTAGTGTTACCATTTTTCTCTGGGCGGCATTATATCCTGTCATTCATATTTATGCAATCCCCATATTTGATTCACGAAGAATTCGAACATTCCATTGTGCAATGTGCGTCCTATTTCGTGTGTCATAAGCCATTGCCATATGATCCTGTTTTTGTTCAATTTGCTAAGAAGATTGGTCTACTGTAGCTAAGAAGATTGGTCTACTGTAGTTGTCGTAGATAATGGGTCTGCCATCTATCGTTGGCTAGGCTCAACTACTTAACTGTTGTGCAGTGGTTAGGGTCCTTGCTTATTTCTTGTTTTGCAATTTTCCTTGAGTGATGTTAAATTCCACATTCCATGGCGTAATATGCGTCATATTTCGTGCGTCGAAGGTTATTGCGATAAAATCTTGTTATTGTCCAGTTTAGTTAATCACTTGTTATTCCTGCTAAGTTTATAATTGGTCTACTGTAGCCTGTCCTAGATGATGGTGCTGCCATCTATCGTTGTCTAGGCTCAGCGATTCCTTAAATATTGTGCAGTAGTTTATGTCCTTGCTTATTTAGTGTTGCGATTCTCCTCCGGGTGGCGTACAATCAATATGTTTTCATGTTGATGTCAAGACTTATTAGAATGTCAGGGGGCTTCGGTTTCATTGCATTTGGAGTATGATGAAACCCTTTTTTACAAAAGTTTAAAAATCAAGGCCTTCGCCAATTTTCTAATCTGATTGCCTATTTTTTTTTTTGGTATTTCATTTTCTCCTGACAGCAATTTACCACTTCATAGCCCCCATATAAAATACCGATTCAATTTCGATATTTTGAATGTCCACCTCATGCAGTGAAGGGTATAAAATGATCGACCCGGTCGAATATAATGCAGTTTTTATTTGTTTAATACTATTTTTTAAAAACATATATTTATATGGAAATATTTATGTACACCCTTGAAAAATAAAAAATACCACCTTCACCTATTCCTAAATATATATGGACTTGCAGACAACTATTTCCCAGTGCAACACACAGAATAATATTTTTTGATTTTATATACAAAATAGACACAGATAAGGATATATATTTTTATGGTTTAAATACTGGGATCTATACCACAATGAAATAACTACAAAAAGACATATAACAACAATAACAAGAAATATTGAAGAACACACAAAAATTAGAAAATTAGAAAAAAATCGGAATTTTCATTTTGTTACCTGGTGTATTTATTAAAATTACTTTCAATTTTATGCGAAATGTATATTGAGGGGCACGGGGTTTGATAACATCGAGTGGTACAACTCGATAATGATTTGGACCTAAACGAATTTTGTTCGTTTTTTTGGATTCGATCGCGATCAACAATAGCCGTGATTGTGTGTGTTGTGTAGGTAAAGCGACGGAGATTGGTTTGGTCAGGGTGGGGAGAATTGAGAAATAAAAAAATAAAATAAATTCAATTATTAATATTTGATATTTATATTGAACAAAATTGAAAAATGAATACAGGTGGTGCCACCATGTGCCTTGGAGGGGTGGTAAGAATAAAAATTACTACAATATTTTACACAGGCCTACGAATTCTACAAACAAACAAAAATGATAACTATCTACGAACAAAGAATATTTACCAAAGAGAATGGACTCAAATTTACCTCTTCAAAAAGAAAATATTTGATATGGGGAAGAATATATTATGAAATGGGTATATATAAATGATATGTAATTAACCCATTAGTGACCGAAGACTTTCATAAACACTGTACAATATTTATTGGATGTTTTTTCAAAGTCTTTTTAAGGATTATATTTTCCCGAGGTCAGACACTAATGGGTTGCAGTTGTGATTTTGTCACTCCATTTGCTGTCAAGCTTTAGCTGCCAGGATCACGATAAAATATTTTGCAAAAGGAAACCAACAGCGACTTTCCGTGGCTCATTTTTTGATGGGTTATGAATTAATAATTTACAAATGTTCGGAATGTATGTGAAAAAAGCATAACAATCAGCTACCACCAACCAACACCCAACAAACTCAACATCCATTCATTCCATAACAGTGTCAATGCCAAAAATCCCTCTCCCAAAATTATTTTGGACCCACTTCCATTTCCTTGCCCCTGCCAACTTACCTGGTGTCGAATTTGTTTTCTCCACAGCCAATTTCTGGCCAAACGTGTACTTGGCCGTTGACTGTTTCACAGCTTTTATGGCCTTGTCGACATCGTATTCCCCTGGGGCTGGTGTACAAAATTTCGACATCTCTTTGTGGCGACTTTGTAGCGTAGCAGCAGGAGGGGTGTCTTTACCTTTACTACCCAAACCGGTTACGTTATATTTGGCTGGTCCTTCGCCCAACGATTGTACGGTTTGTCGATGTTTTTGACCAAAGGTAAATGCTGGAGCGGCTTGTTTACGCGAGTCCAGTACTTTGGTACCTTGAAGAGAAACATAATTAAATAATTAATCTCGATTAATGGACCCATTGGTTGTGCATGTTTTTTCTTACCAATTAAATTGGGTAATGCAACCGCTGCTGGTCCAGGGGTTGAGGTTTCAGCAGCAATTTGTCCACGGCGTACGGTAGGTGTCCAGGGTCGTTGTTCGAAACCGGCTACCATAGCTTGTATATCCTACAGAAGTGCAGCACTTGGAGGATGCTCTTCAGGAACTAAAAAGGAACAAAAAAACGGAAGTGAAAATAAGGTTAAATTATATTATACGTAGTTCGTAAGCCAAATATGAAATTGTTTCCAGAAGGAATAATTTTCGTGTACTGTTTTTTTCAATTTTTAAAGGCGTTGAGTTTTCAAAGAACATTTTTTCGGGGTTTTAACATTTCATTACAATAGTAAAATTGTATTTTTATCTTTTTTTCTAGTTACTAATTATCCGATGATTTGGAGTTTGAGGTTAAATCCGATGACGTTATACCAAATGTTCGTTTATGTCATAATGGGACGTGGAATGTTTTTGGAACAAAAATATGACTTAACTTACCGGAAAATTTCAGTGATGATTTTGAAAATAAGGTAAGTTACATCCAAAGTAAGAAAATCAAATATTTTCATAAAATATATTCGCCCTAGCGTGATATAACGGCGACGGAGAAGAAGTATCCTTAAACATAAAACTTGATTCGGATTAATTTATTGTTCTAATGGGCGTCGATTCATGTGTTCTGCTGTTGAGATCTGATAATGATTTAGATCTCAAGATAATTAAAACCGATTTAAGTTCGTATGACACCACAAAACCACACATTAGGGGATGGGCCACTTATGCTGGTAAAGATTCGCGTTTGGTAACATTAACGAATACCAAATATGCTTTCACTGAAGGTGAGTGATATTTATGAAATTTCTATATAAGCTTTTCTTATGAAAATTAATTTTCTTATAAATATAAAATAATTGAAATAAATTATTTAGCGGATATTTGGTGTAATAGATAGATTCGCATCGAATATTCAAAGCGATTTTATACCTTTTATGTATACCATCATTTGTATACCATTTATGAAAAGATTTCATATACAAATCCCGGCCTTGTGCTGGTATTTGAAAGAAATGGTAATAAATGTGCCTTGACGGTGACGCAATTCCACCAACAAAGCTGCAAAGTTTTTTCTAAAGTGAAATATTTTACGGGATAGAATAATAGGAGTCCTATGAGACGAAACAGATCGATAAAAATAATCTACGTCGCTACATAAATGCTGAAACTGAACTTCTGAAAGCTATTCTAAAAAGTGTTTTCTAAAGTGGGTTAGAATTTTAGATGGAATTGTTCCCAGAAGGAATAATCCACGAATAATAATCGAATATTGTTTCGAACCTGTAGCTCCTGGTGGAACACGACACTTCTCCTGTTGGCCAGTTCTTGCCGTTTCTGGTCAATTGCTATCTTCAAACGGTCCTGTTGTTGACAGCAGAGGTCAGAATTTAACGTTTGGCCATATGGAAGCAACTCATAAAAATAATCCCCTCCCCGTCCCACCAAATTCATACCAGAACCTTCTTGGCCGTTAGTTCTGGTTTGGCCACCGTTTGAGGTGCTTCACCGTTATTTGACCCCGATCGTTTTCGCACAGGGTTATCGTATGTGATTCATTTCTCATCTCCAGTTACCATCCGTTTAAGAAATGGGTCTATCTCATTCCGTTTGGCCAAGGCTCCGCAGATGGAAATTAGATCGATCCTATTTTTTCTGTTAATTGGTGTGGCACCCAAACATCGAGCTTATTTTTGAATCCAACTTTATGTAAATGGTATAAAACAATTTCATGGTAGATTTTTAGCTCCTGGGCGATGTTACGACTGCTAACATGCCGGCAAAATCACAAGACAGACAGGATATGTCTCAGCAACAGAGTGAGAAGCGATGTTCTGATTCGTGAACGGATGGCGGGCGACGCATATTATGGGTAAGACCGCAAGGTATGTTCCCACATACTCTAAGCATCTCTACCTGTAATTATATTTATTATAGACTAGAGACTAGAGTTTCACTCCGTTATAGTTTGAAACTCTTATAAATTCTAAATAAGATCTTTGAAATATTTTTCCTCCTCCACTGCGATTCAAACCCATGGGTTTGTAGTGTCTGAATGTCCGAACCGGTTTAGTGCAAACTCTGGTCTGGATATAATAAATATAATCACAGATAGAGTTGCTTAGTACCTCATCTGGCGGTTTTACCCAACGATGCTGTAAAAAACAGTTAATAAAAAGCGTCAACCAATGCCCCACACCAAAATGCAGGTACCAATCGATCACACGTATTTGGATGTGATCGACTTCTTGGATGAGGAGCGGAGCCCATCTACAACTAGTGCCTTTCTATGGGTCAGGCAACCGATTGTAATGCATCTCCACACTGAGCCGAAGCTTTACCCGCGATTTGGGTATAAACCACCACCAGCACGATGCTTCCAGAAAAGCCAACTCCAACTGCCTAGCTGGATCCGCAGACCTAGGGGCTCTGACACCCGTGCTACCGAAACCTTCGGTATCACTTCATAGTCGAAGCTATTATCAGAGAACCCCAAATAGTTCGAGACTATTCACCCACAGACTAAAACTTTTGCGCAGCTTCATAGCTAAAGCTACAATCGACAATCGCTGAATGGGGGATAAAAATCGAATGTGACCACCAACACCTTACGACATTGTTAGCTACCATGCATCTCACCGCTCCCAACAATTGCTAAAAAAGGCTGCTAGTTCGGGGATGGTCCCCCACAGATTAATCTCTACACGTATCCGTAGCCGAAACTACTACCATTTGAACTAATTGCTGCAGGCTCTCCACAATGGAATGATGCTAATTTTCACACCGTCTCCCTTCCCCACCCAACATCCATCATTCCACAAGTCTACAAATTCGGGAATGGTAATAGCAAACAAACCATAAAAAAGATAACCTCTAAAACAGATAAATTCAAAACCCATAAATAATTTCTCGCCACATGGACTCATACGAATCATATGGGTACCAAGTCAATAGGAAAAGATATAGGAAATATACTCGCTAGAAGTGAAACCGACCGACCTACAATAGATGTAAATAATGCCAAAAGTTTTAGTGCAAAGCGTCTGCAACTGAGGCCATGGGCAACGGAAACCCACAAAATTCTTTGGAATGGCGAGTAGACTGGGAAAACACAGTAACATTAATGGGGAGATCCAAATGAGGATAGGACAAAGCTAATCCAAATGCAAAAAAAAAATCAATAGACTGATCTGTAGTCTCACAGGACGTAAGAGTGTGCAGGCCCACTTTCACAAGATTGGATGCAAAAAGTTAGAACATATCCTAAGTCATTGTCCAGCCTTTTCAAGCTTCCTACCCCAATTCTTAGGTAAGTAAACCTTTCGTGAAATAACCTACTTAAGGGGTTATTTCAGAATCCGTAGAAGTGTGTGACAATCAAATACGAAGATGACTTCTTCTAATATTCTTCCCTCTCTAGAGCGCACAATAGGTCATTTACAGACTAATATGTGGACAACCTAGGACAACCTTTTCAACCTAGTTTACTTCCTCCTCCAAATAAAATTCATCCGGAGCTTCCTGGCATTCTAAAAACCAAATGCATAATGAAATGTCAGGAGCGCCATCCAGAGGAACATGGCAACACTGTATAAGCAAGTACCACAAACTGAATACAATTTAAGGAGTAGTTGTTTCTAGGTATCGGTAGATGACCTAAAAACCAATGGCAACTGTAACCGAAGCCCTAATCGAGTAAGATGGCAAAGTTTTGTTCTAAGCTCCCAAGACAGGTAGCGCCGTTCAGAGGAAAGTGGCAACACTAAGTAAGCAGGGGTGCAATAGATGGCAGTGCCATCACCTCGGACTGGCTATAACAGACCAATCATCTTTAATTAACAAAGATTAACGAAACTGCCTCAAGGACTAATCGAGCAATATGACCATGCATTAAGGAAGCTCAATGCATCGAAGAGGAGTAACAGGAGAATAAAATTAAGAGTATAAATTAGTTGCGAGAGAAATATTTTCTAATAAATATATCCCGGAATTAGAGGAAGCAAGGTGTGGAATATCATTAAAGAATATTTTTTCAGGGACACAAATAAGAGACGATTTTTAAAAAAATATTTTTTAGAAAAATTAGCACGGGTTTTAAAAAATATTCTTCAGGAACAAATAAAAATTAAAAACCTGCAATAAAAGTGTAATTAAGTAATTTTTAAATAAATCACGCCTTTGCAGACAATAAAAAACTACTTGAGGTAGTTTACCAAAGCACGATACAAACAAACAAAACAATAAAAAAAAAATTTTCCTGCCACAAAAAAACTATTCTAGAAATTGCCAAAAACAGGTTGCTAAACAACGATTCTAAATAAAAGTAAAACAAAACGAAAATATGAACTAAACAAACAAAAAATATTACCATTGGTATTTCAATGCACAACGAAAAAAAACCTATCCTAAGAAAATTATTTCCCCACCAGATATTTTTACATTCCAATGAACTTTCTATGAAATTCAGCAATAAAGTGGTGGTATGTCAAGTTGAAGTGGGGGTTTTTATTTTAATATACTACTCATCTGTGACAGTTTTATTACGAAACGAAATTTATGACCTATATTATGCGATAATAATAATTCGAGAGGTTTGATAAATTAATTATGTACATCCAATTGAAAAAGAATTATTTTTTTCTATAGAAAAATATTTGACAATTACAATCAATGTCTGAGACCGCCTCCTAAAAATATTCTTGAAAAAATCACCGCCTTGTTGAGGCCACCTAAAAATATTCTTGAAAAAATCACCGCCTTGTTGATGTCTCCAAAAAAATATTCTTTAAAAAATCTACGCCTTGCTGAGGCCTTCAATGAATATTCTTTAAAGAATCCACGCCTTGCTGAGGCCTTCAAAAATCGTCGCTGTGCTGAAGCCTCCCAAAATATTCTTTAAAAAGCCACTCATGTTTGGAGGCTTCGAAGACCTTGTCATTTATTTGAAAATTTTCAATTGATCCACAATATCGAACGGAAATTGAGAAAAATAATTTTCTAAACTTTAATTAGTTCACCATATTTGAACCTACATTGATACGATTCCGCTACTCAAAGGTTATTCGCTCGTAAACAAACTGCAGTTCGTGTTTACATTTCAAACGTGAGCAAACAAACAAAGTTCTACTTT